ACTCTGATACGCACACGTAACCGATAAAACTATACGTATGCGTATGGAGCGTGTATCTCAAACGCTTGAAATTCCCGACTCCATCTGTTCTCCGCTTACACCCGTCGTCACGAGGGTGACACGTCGTAGGATCGTTGCGAAGAGCTTCGCAGGTCATCAGGAATTCATCGTGTATTAAAAACGTTGATCACGTTCACTTTCACTCGAACGAATTCATGAATGAAAACTTGTATCATCGGTACGTCACTGTTCGTCGTAGATGCGATCGAGCTTTGAATGAGCAAGGCACGGGTGTACGACTAGATACTTCTGCAGATGCAGGATCTTTGTCAAATCGTAGCGTTCCTCCGGTTCGTTAAAACTTTCACGATGCACTAGCTTAACGATGTAGTGAAACGTGTTTGCCAACAGACAGGACACAGATGCCCCTTATCCAGAATCAATATTTCCATCTGATCGTGAACCTGGTGGTTGGCTTACTATCCGCCACGCCGACATACCGTTGCCACCGTTCTATATGCCGTTCTTATTGATTTTCCCCCTCGCGTTCAGTTTGAATCATTTCTCTCTCGATTTCGTAAAACACCTCGCACCTCTACTCGAATCACACGTTCGGTCTTTCGTATCGAATGTTTTTTATCATAAAAACGAGTACCAATCTTTATGCTTCAAATTATTTATTGTTTTTATATAAAAATATCGATAAAATGAGTAGAGTACATGATGGCCAGGAACATTATAAAATCCGAGTTGATGTCTCATTATAGTCGACTGTAATCGATAAATTATATCACAGATTCTTATGTACATTTCTATAAATATCAGTGCAATTCGTAATTAAAGAGTATCTGATGAGCCTTGTCGAGCGCCAACGCTGCTTTGGGCCCGCGTTTTAAATACGATATCGTGGAGTACGCGGAGAAATGGAAATCTTCTTGCAAGTAACCATTGACGACTAAATATCCTACTATAGCTTCCCCCGATTCCCTCGTGAATTTCGGCGTTGGCACAGAGGAAACGCGTAACGCCGACGCGCCCTTGCCGTACCAAGCATCCAGCAGCTTCAACGCGGTCAATCTCGTCTCGCTCTGTACCGCTTTCGTCAAAATTTCGTACAACTGTCTGCAATACGGAGCGACGTCCACCTGTTTCTCTTTTTTCGGTTTCTTGCAATGATCGCACATCTCGGCGCAATCGGTACGAGTCCAACTTTCCTCGAAGTGACTTGCGATCAAACTACGCCTGCACGATGTTTGATCTAAACAGTACGCCAGCATCTTGTATAAATTCTGCAAGCCGACCTTATCTTGAAACACCATCGTGCTCAATTTAAAGACATCCGGTAGCCTGAACAGTACTATGCACGCCGACTTCTTCCCGTCTCTGCCCGCGCGACCGCTTTCCTGATAGAAATTCTCCATCGATTTCGAGACGCAGTGGTGAATGACGAACCTCACGTCCGGTTTATCGATGCCTAATCCGAAAGCGATGGTGGCAACCACAGCCTGGTATTTCCCAGATATCCATTTCGAATACACTTCGGATCTGTAGTCTGCTTCCAACATCGCGTGGTAACACCCGACTTTTATGCCCAGCGCTCTCAGATATCTGGTCAATTGTTCCGCGTCTTTGATCGTGGTCGTGTAAATTATTCCAGACTTATCCTTGAACCTGTTCTTTAACAAATTCTCTATCATATCTAAGCACGTGTCTTTGTCCGCCGGTTTACGGCGAACCTCGTAATACAGATTCGGCCTGTTGAAAGTCGCCCTCAGAACTAAACAGCCTTGAATGTCTAACATTTTTTGAACGTCCACTATGATTTTAGCGGGAGCCGTGGCCGTTAAACCTAGAATCGGTACACCTGGGAACATAGACTTTAAGATTCCCAGGAACTTGTAATCGGGTCGGAAATCGTGGCCCCATTGGCTGCAGCAATGAACTTCGTCTATCGCGAAACGGTCTAATCGCTTCGTTTCAAAGGCTTTTTGTAACTTGCTCATGAAACGATTTGACTTTGCCATGTATTCCGGAGTTACGTAAATTAATTTTATATCTGATTTCTTATCCAAGAGCGCGTTCATCACGGTCTTTACATTTTCCTTATCACTTTTTGCACTCAACATTCTGGCTTGCACGTTGACTTTCTGCAAACCGTGTAACTGATCTTCCATTAGAGAAACGAGTGGTGATACGACTATCGTGATGCCTTTACTAATAACGGCAGGTAGCTGGTAGCACAAGCTTTTACCACCACCGGTAGGCATGATTAAAATAACGTCTTCATTAGACATGATCGCATTCATAGTGGGCAGCTGTAACTCTCTTAGTTTATCTATTTTAAAAACATCCTTTAAAGCCTTTTTCAGGTCTCTCGACCAGCTGAAGTCTTCCTTGTTCCAATCCTTCTTCGATATGGACAGACTCTTCCTCAAAAGTGCATCGTCCCGTAGTTTCTCCTTGCGTTGAGTAAGAATTTTCTTACGATCTTCAAGTTTCTGTATCTCGTTCTCGATCTGCCTCAGCTCATAGTCTATAGCGACGATTTCGTCTTCCTCGACATCTGATGAAAAAAATTCATATGACTAACAAATAGTCACAAGTATTATTTCAATAACAATTACATACCTTGACGATCATCGTTTTCGATTATCATAACGTCTTTCGAGCTGGTCGCAGTCATTTTAAAAGGAGATCGTTCGATATTTATTTTTTAAATATACATGCAGCGTTCATACGTCAACAGTGTTTCATTCAATCGTTCGCCCGTATAACCTGCGTCTCCTCACCGGCATCGTATCGCACCGATCAGCTGAGTCCAGTTGTTTACTGGCGGTACTACGTCGGTACAAGGCAAGTAACGCTGCACTTGGTGTCTGATATTAAACGCACTATCGCACAAAATCTGTTTAAGTCTTAACTAAATCTGTAAAACGTCATGTTCAATACGATGTTCCGTGCTTGTCCTACTTGGCTCGAAAACACGTTAACATCTTTATACTTTAAGGGTACCTATTCCTTTTTTTGATCTTATCTATTCTCGTTGTTCATCTTATTTCCACGTTCCTTTTACGTATATCAGAATTTTTGTTCATTTTCATCGAAATCTGTTCGATCAATTTCACTTCTGGCTCGTTCCATGATCATTACATTTTTTTGGTACAAACGCATTTTGCGCGGAATCATGACTATATGAAAATTACATTGCTGTCACAAGATAGCTTATGTAACATGGTGATAATCAAAGCCAACTAATCGTATTTCAATGTTAATACCACGATCGTTCCTGGCTTTCTTCTAATTACATATTGTATCAATAAAGATCTCCGTTCTTTTAGCGAGAAGTATTTCAGCGAATGGTTTTAATGCAACTCACTGTTCTTCCATAATAATAACCGAACCGAATATGAAGGTCCAAATACTACCTGCACTACAAGATAATTACATGTATCTTGTAAGTAAACCTTTAAAGACTCCCACGATTGCCAAGAATTGTGGGTGGTTCATTTATTGAGATCTGTTCCTTCAAAAGATCATCGACGAAGCAACGCAGGAAGCAGCTATCGTTGATCCAGTCGATCCTGATAGCGTTGCATCTGCCGTGCAACATAATAACGTATGCCTGACGAAGGTTTTGACCACTCACCATCATTGGGATCACGCTGGTGGCAATGCGAAATTGTGCAAGAAATTTAACAATCTTCAAGTATACGGGGGGGACGATAGAATAGAGGCTCTCACTTGCAAGGTGAAGCACAACGATACTTTCAACATTGGGAGATTGCAAGTGCAATGCTTGGCGACACCGTGTCACACCAGTGGGCACATATGTTATTACATTACAGGAGATCAAGATCCTCCTGCAGTTTTTTCTGGTATAACGAATTACTTAGAGTTACTTTCTTCGTTGATCAGAAGCTAACGAGTGTTGATGTATGTAGGGGATACCCTGTTTGCTGGTGGCTGTGGTAGATTCTTTGAGGGTACCGCAGATCAAATGTATAAAGCTCTTATAGAGATTTTGGGATCGCTACCTAACGAAACAGTAAGCATCCGTGTATGCATCGTTCACCGTTTGGATTCTATATTATATATTGTCTACAGAAAGTGTATTGCGGGCACGAGTACACAGGGAATAATTTAAAGTTTGGCAAACATGTGGAGCCGGAAAACGAAGCGATACGTCAGAAAATCGAATGGGTTCGTATACAGCGTGAAAAGCATAACCCCACGGTACCGAGTACTATTCAGGAAGAGAAACTGACAAATCCGTTTATGCGAGTTCACGAACAATCGGTGATGGATCACACAGAGCAAAGAGATCCGATCCAGACGATGGCGTATCTCAGAAGAGAGAAAGATAATTTCAAAGCATAAATTTTTTACTATTAACAACAAAGTCGGTCGTTTATATATACACAGAATTTTCATTCAACGTTCTTCCGAGGCAAAGTTTTTATTTGACTTATTTATAAAACTTTATGTTGCCTTTCTATACATAAATATAAACATATGTGCAAATATATGATTATAAATTACGTATTTACAAATATATTAAATACAAAATACTATGTTATATTTAAAGACATTTGACTCGGCGCGTCTTCCGACTTCTTATTATAAATTTGCATTTCAGCAACGTATTTCTCTTTGGATCGTTCGTACATATCGTAATAGACCTGAAACAGAGAAACTATGATAAGTACTCGAATCCAAATACTTAAGTAATGCAGTTTCCATTTTAATACAAACCTTTTTATCTTCCGAACTGAGGGACTTCCAAGTTGTTGCTAATTGCCTGGTGAGTTCTTGTTTACTTGGTTCCGGTTCACCAGCTAAGCGTTCCATAACGCGCGGTCTCTGTTCCTGGCAGAATTGAAAGAATGGATTCGCTGGTCTTTTCGGCGCGTTAGGATCCGTTTTCGTTCCTTTTCTTTTTGTCCCTTTTTTCGTTTTTTCTTCTTTAGCATTGTGACCCGCAGCCTTCGAGCCTTTCTCAGGCTTAGGTGTCACTTGGAATACATTGTTTTCTTCCAAGACACCCATAGGTGCCTCTCGCCAACGATCCCCGTGTTGATCCAAACGATCGATTAAAAATCTATAAATAAAATTATTTTCATATTCATCAGTCCACAAATCACGTGTAACGCTCATTATCTTAAAGTATGAGCAGTAGGTAATACTGCAGTAGTATTCAAAGGATAACCTGAAAGTGCAACTAACTTTTTCTCCTTCCTCGTACGTTTAAGAAGTTTCCTAACGTGTTGAATGCGATACACGAGTCTTTCATTTTCCTACAGTTAACAAATTATTCGTCCCATTAACATCATTAAACGATTATGCGAATCGCAGTGTATAGGAATGAAATATAAACCTGTTGTAAAACTTCACATCTATCTAGCAGCAACTGATATTTACGTTTGTAAATATCAAACTCTTCCGGTTCCACTTCGTATTCCGATTCGTCTGACATTCTAATTATACGAACGAACTAAACGAAATTAACAGAATTTTCGGATTGTTTTTATACGAACTCGACTATACACGCTTATTTTAGCATGATAGAACAGGAAGGTGGCAGATGCCGCTAGTATGGATTTGTTCCGAATCTTCTGCATAATCTTTCTTATATTATTGTTATTAAAATCCAAAACAACTTTATCTAAGTTGTATTGAATACTTTTGTAATTATCAAAGTAAATCTTCCTCATTAAAACACAATTAAACATTTTCTATATGGTGTGCATTATATCTTAGACTTCTTACAGAAGAATTTTCATAAGGGATAAATAATTGTGACACCGAAAAAATCAAAAGAGGATTATCTTTATTATCAATTAAAAATTATGTTACGGATTGATATGCTATCGCTATTAACAACTGGATTAAGTAGAATAAAAAGGTTTATTTGATAAAGTGCGTTATATCAAACGGTACAGATAAAATACGTAGGTACGTAACGAGAAAGAATTTGGTAGATATTTTTGCGTGGAAAGTTTGCGCCCGAGTTTCGCGCAAAGGTTTCGCGTCGTCCCTGTAAATCTAAACGGCCAATGAAAGTGTCGAAAGAAGGGTTGCGCCGACACACATGCGCAACTACATCACAATTCACCCTGGACTTGAGACACGGTCACAAAACACGTATCATCGGTCTTCTCCCCGTCGCGTTATTACTTTCTCTCTTCGCTTCTCGAAATTTCGCGTTTCCGGTTTCACCGTGAAAACCTCGCAAACCATCTTCACCTCGTGTCGGTGAACCGTGTCTCGTCTCATCGTCTTCCAAGCCGACGCTTCTTTTTCACGGCCGTGCTTACAATCTTTCGTGCGCTACAGCGATCACTTTTCGCCTACCCTCTATTAATTGCAACTTATTGTTTCCCGCGCGTGCTATGGAGTGTGTAGCAGTTTTTTAGCATTCACTCCAGCCTGGCAGGTCGACTTTTGGTAAGTACGATCGACATTTCTATACCCGGTAAAATCAGTAGCGAAAGAAGAGGTACGAGTCTGATTTAATCGCGTGCGTGGAAATAGACAGGTAGGGGTTTTAACGCAGCACGCGCGTGCGAAGGAGCTGGGAGCCAAGATCAATAGCAGCCATTGCGGTTATGGTAACACGATCAGCTGATCAGCTGATGCTTATTTTGTTTACAATTATTATTTCAATCTCGTCTAATTGAGCGTACATCGTTACCTGAATATCCTCCCTTTAAGAGAACGATCTACGCCATCGAAACGTGTTTAACCTCGTCTTTGCAAAAGAAAGACGTCCTGCTCGCGATTCTATGCTAAGAACAAATCTCGTTTGCATCTCGTAATGATAAATGGGGGGTTTTTTATTTTAAACAATACTACTGTTTAGTAGAGTGTCAATAGAAGTTCGTTGCTTGAAACGAATAGTCTGGCTAGCACGATCACTTCACTGACATTTGGTAGCTTCTTGTTAAGTTTAGACGCGTTATATTTGTATCGTTAGTTCCGGTATGATAGCGAAGATGAAATGTACGATGAACTCTGTTTAATACGCAAGTCGCTAATTTGCATGCGAGCGTCTAAATATACATGGGAATCTTTACTGATACGAGACTTAATTCAGTAACAATATCGAAGGCTAGATACATAAAAACTTGCAACGTATATTATCGATTCATACGCCACTTTTATTCAAGCAAATACAATATAATTAAACCGTGCAGTTTTATATTAAGCATGATCTTGTATTATATTTGCAATAATTATGAAAATTATTTTAATCGAATATTTTTAAGCGGAGTTACGCGTCGAGTACCTGAATAATTATCATTGAAACACAAGTACTCTGATTACTGAGATAATTACGACTGCGACTGAGGAGCCTGTTTACTAATTCGAGTCTCTTTTTCTCTGGAGCAATACGCATTAGTACCTAATTGTAAGTAATTAAAAGCCCTCGTTCTTTTATACGTTCTTTTATTTTTCATTCTCGAATGCAAGCTTTTGATTAATACATTAGTTGTGCTAAATTTCGTTTTCTGAGGAAATCACGCGTCCCGCGTGTTGTGAAGGTCCGCAATGCAGGCTTCTCGAGGGATCTCTCGTGTTCTTCTCCGATGAGGAAGAGTCTTTTTAAAGGTTTCCAACGATCTCACAGTAGCCACGGCCTAATTATGCACCCGTGTTCCGCAGTCCTCTCGTACGCCTCATTGGATCGCAATCTCTCGTTCCACGGATTTTCAGTCTCTGCTTCCTTTATCTCTATAGATTTTACGACTGTTATCCTTAACCATCATTCATGATAAACGTCTCCCTATCTCTTATTGACGCGCAAAGGGTTTATCTATTTACGCGAATGCACCATTCCAATGAGAGATGCTCCGTAAACTGTGCCAAACGTCGGTAGCGTCGATTATAAATATATAGCGCGTACTGTGCGTGCAGATAAAAGTATTATAGTTAGAAGAAACTGAGGAACTTAAAGTTCGCTGCCTTTATCAGTCTCCTAACCTTTCATCGAGGTTGTACTATTTTAGTAAAATTATTTTAATCCGTGTTACACAGCACTTCAAACCTAACGGCAATTAAAGTATCCTTATCTCTGGATTAATACTTTAGTCAAATGGTTTAGTCGAACTTTCGAGATCAAATAATGCTTAATAATTAATTGAACATCGTTTCAGTGAAAGTCCTAATTAAAAGTCTGTGCCGAAAATCAGGTTGGGTGTGATCCAATAAATTGAAGTTCGACCGCCTAGAATGTATATTCGATGCACGTGCAACACGTGGCATGTGGAGTTAGAGATTAGTCTTGAATTTATTCGAATACGAAATTCAGGCGCTTGTCTACGATTTAGCACGTTCTCTTCGCAGAATCGTGTCGTTTGTCTCGAGCTCGTGAAAACTTAGTCCAACCGTTTGCATACATAATCAATTTCGAAAGACTAAAGAAGCTCTAAATTAGAACCGGGAACATCGTTTTCCTTCACGAGTTTTTCCTCCGCGTAAATTTTCCTTGTCTATTAAATTTCAAATCGACGTAAAACACTCGTTAAGCAGGTAATTAAAATGTTTCTCAAGGTTGAAAAGAATAGACACTTTTCTATGAACATATTTCTACATATCGTCGTGAACATATTGTCTTATCGTGAATGTAATTAAGTGAGCTGCAAATAACATAGATTATAAATAATTTTCCTTGTTCTCTCAACTTCAAGTCGACGTGCAATCAACAATTCAAATTAATCATTAGCAGGTTAATTGAAATGTCTTGTAAGATTGAAAAGAATCGATATGGATCGGTGAACGTTTATTGTAATTTCGTAAACGTAATTAAACGAATTGAGAATAGAGGAAAAAATTGTAAATAAATACAACAAACAGTAAATGTCGGATTGCGATTTATGGTATATAGGTTTAGAGATTACTCATAGTATTCTAATAATAAGTATGACTTTCTCCTGAGTGCAAAGTTACCAATCAATAAGTAAATACACATAAATCTTTAGATAATCTACGAAACTTATCGTTTTCAAACTTTGTCAAGACGTACATTAACATCGTTTCATTGTTGCATTTAGTGTTGGCGCCGATTCTTTAATTTGACATCAGCTTAAATAATAATCACAATTTTAAGACCTTAAAAAGTGTCGCGTTAAATCATGTCTTGAAATCGTATAAACCTAATTCGAGGAAATCAGTCTGATCTTACATAAATAATGAATGTCACTTGTGGTTTTAAACATCAGTTCTACGTAACTAGTAAAAATGCAAATTAATTATTAGCGGGAAAAACGAGTAATTATTTTGATTGTATAGAACTTGATGACTTTTTTCCTAAAACGATTCTATACATTTTTGTTTAAGTACATCGTGTTCGAATCGAATGATTGACATTTCTTGCAAATAAACGGAACAGGGAAGAAGTCAGAATTTCTATCGTAATCTCAATCTCGTGTCCGCGTCATCGGTGTTCCTCGACGAACGCGTGATCGTATAAAGGGGGGAAGACGCGGTTGAGATCAGAGGCGAAGAACTCCCTATCATCTTGTAGGAGGCAACAGTTCCTAATGCTTCGGCGAGAGCATTCCCAGCTATCAGTATTAGTTCGGCCGTCCCGAAGCGCGCATCCGAGCCGCTCCTCCACGGGACACCGTTACGAGAGGAGCGATCTCGTTTTAAGTAAATAAAAAAGTACCAACTTTCGTGTTTACACACGGCGTACGTGCCCGTTCCGAAACCGGAATACAGTGCAGAAGGACGCTCGGATCGATCCAGTGTGTACGAATAAAATATCATCGACAGTTTCTCAGAAAATGTTTCACGTCTCCTGGTGGTGATGACGGGACCCGTAGTATTCGTTTTTAATTAACTGAAAATAGCTTGTAACGTGATTGTAATGTAAAAGAAATCAGTTGTTGAGAATATTTGTGTGACTATCGTCGAGCTAAATTTAATTTCGTTCTTCTTGGTTCGTCTCGTGATAATTCGAATATAGACCGGTGTTTTCTTTTTTCCACCGTTTACCGTTCACAAACGAATCGAGTGTGTTTCTTTTCTCTCACTGGTCGTTAGTGACGGAAAGTACTGAAAGTCAGATCGTGGAACTTGGAGGAAGAGTGGAGAATCTCTGATACATACGTGTACCAGAAACGTTATCTAAAATTTGAACGATACGAGTCGGCGGAGATTAGCGGGATCGTGAGAATTTTGTGAAATGTGTCGTATTCTTGCGTCCATGTTGGCGACGAGATTTCGCAGGACGTCGAAAAGTCGCTCGACGGGGCTCGATCTCAAATAAATCTTGAGAACTCGACGGTAAATAAACTTCGTAAAGGTTACCCGAGCGGAACGAGTGCGTAATTCTTGGCCGACACGTGCCCGAGAGTGAAGAATCTGTTATGGAATCTCGCGAATGTTTTTATTCCAGTGAAAATTCGATCGCGAAGAGGCAACGTGAATCTTATCGCGCACGTGAGACCGAAAGTAACATTGCATTGTGAAATTCAACGGGGGATATAATACGTGTCGAGGCGGTGAACGTTCCGGCGTGTACGTGCATTCCGAGGACGCTTCCCGGCATTGGAACTTTTATTTTAGGATAAGAAGAACTGGTGTCGGCCGCACGATGGTACGTTTAGTCTCCTGGCACAATGTCACTGCCGAAACGGTAAAACTGCGATACGATTCGCGACTGTAAACAGAATTAAAATTTAAGTATCGTGTTCAATAACTCCAAGATAAACGTTTGAATTCCACGTTACAATTTCTACTCGCTAGAATGTCTTTCCATAACTTTAATATCACATAGATATTTACCTTAATGATTTCTCTTAACAGAAACATGATTTTCCTTTACGAGACGAAGTAGAAAGAAGTGTTTTTAAAAATGGCAATCAAAATTACTCTTATCTAAGTAGGTTTATGGAGCAATCGTGTATTATCAAACGAGCATCGGATTTTCAGTAATTATTGCATACGTATCTTATTCACGTACATTGAGAATGTTCTCTAAAGTGCACTTGAAACTTGTTTTCAAGTTATGTATCAAAATAATCGGCTTTTTAATATATAGTACCACTCGGAAATCATTTAAACGATTAGGCTAAAGTGATTTCGTCTGTAGTAAAACTCGAAATCATCGTTGGAGAACGTTCAAACGTCTTATAATGACGTTACTTTATTATGCAACTAAACATCTACATTTAGTATATTTGTTTTCCGTGTTAACGTTTAATTCAACTTACAGGAGAGCATTTGATAAATGTAATTTTCATCAGTTTAAATTTAGTACTTGCATCGTTAAGGTTATTTTGTCATATTAAGCTGATACGAGATCTAATTATGTGATCTCACGTGTAAATTCGAAAGTTCTGTAATTGAAAAATTGTGAACGGAGCGTAATCGATGTTTGTGAGATATACGTAACGAGCACGCGGGATCGATATTCTTTTTGGTGTGATAGAACGATTAAATGCGGCACGCGGTACCACGAGTTCGTTCTCCTTGTCTCGCCGCGTACGCTGATAATGAAGGTTCATAGTTTCCCGGTCAAATGTTGGTCACTGCTTCGATTAACGCTCGACTGTCATCCAACCCAGAAGCATGCGGCTTCCACGGTTTCCCGGAACGGTGATTACGAATCGTCGAACCTTCCCTTTATAAAATAAGATAGCCGATGGGGGAAACAAACGAGATAAATGGTGTCCCGTCGTTTGTAACATTATTAACAGTTTTCAACAGGAAGCGATCGTCCTGTTTCGAAATACATGCGAGACAATTGGATCGTGGCTGGATTCATGATGTCACGGTCAACTTGACTTTTTTTATGTTAAACGTTATGCACGACTGCACGGTTTCAAATTTCGTTGGAGGTTAGAAAAGGTCTACGGTTCGATTCGAGATGTATAATTGATCGGGAATACTAGATCACGTGTCGTGATCGATAGTCATCGATAGCTTATCTCATAAAATCGTTCAGGGCTACGAAAAAATATGTCGAAAGGCAAGATCGAAAGTTGAAGCTTTCGTTATCAGCGATAACCGATTACAATTGCGCGATCTCGTACAATTTTTCATTTTTTCGGGATCATAAAGATAGACCGTCGTTCGTTGATTAATAAAAGTTCGATTTAAGTCCGTTTCATATAATCGCGTCAGGGAATATAAATAAAGTTTATTCGATATCGGACAGATATTTTTTTGATCTGATTTCGTAGCATCGCAGTCAGCTCGGTGCTGAAACGTTCCTTTGCAACAAAAGCACGATCCGTGCTCGCTCTTTTGTGTCATACTTGTTCAGAGCGCGTGTATTAAAATATCTTTTGTAGCCTCTGAAAAGTAAACGCTTCTTCAGACCGGAGCATTTTGTCGCTACACGACTTTTAACAACCGCGTCGCACGATCTCGTTTCCTTTCTCTCAATTTCATTTATTACGTTCGAATTATTATACATTCAATCCGTTTCCACGATTTTTCTCAGATGGAAAGAAAAGCGTAAATTTTTTTTATAACTGAAGAGGCGTTAATTTATGACACCTACGGGCAGGGACTTCCTAAAGCTGATTAACGGTAAACTGTTCGAGTATTACGCAACGTTTCTCCTTTTCTTCCCACGGGCGCTTCTTTTAATCGCTAATGCAATTAAGGTTGTATGAGCCGTACGAGCTCTGCTAAAAGTTTAAGGCATCTAATAAAAAGCTGTGTCCAATATTTGATGCAATGAACTTTTAGAAAAAATTATTATTANAACTTTAAAATATTCTTAAATCATGTATTAAGAATTATACAAAATTATAAAATTTTGTCATTCGACATAAGAATTCAAGATGTAGTAACTTTTTTAATTGGCTTGCAGAATTTCTAAAAGGGCCTAGCTGGATGAGGGGGTCAAAAGTGCCTTTGAGCCGAATGAAGCACCGCTTACGCCATTCGATAGCTTATCAAAAACGAAACATTCACTCCAATTTTTAACCCTACATCTCAACCAGGGGGGTAGTAATCGGTAAAATTCGAGAAATCAGTTTTTTGAGGTTTTTTTCGCAAGGCGTTAAATAAGGAAAACCTCAAAAAACATAAGGAGCCTCGCTACAGAAATGCATTTAATCAAAAGTACGCGGTACCAAAATCAGACGATTATCGTCACTTTGCCGCGCGCTTATTTTACAATTGCCAAGTTACCGTAATTCTAATACCGAGTCTCGTGAATCTTTCACGTTCTGCAGCGACGAATTTATGAACCGTATAAATAGCAAGGGACGCTTGTTAAATGCACATGTTAATATTCGAAATCGATGACATTTAAATGTCAAGCTCGCTTTTGGAATTTGACAATGCCTTTGTTCGGTCGTAAGTTATTTTCTATTATTATAAAGTTTTTGTGTACAGGCGACGCGGCTGGTTTATAGCTCTGTTCCCAGTCTCGAGTTTCTTGGTTCACGTGCGATCCGCTTATTAAGATAGCATAAGTTTCGCCCGCAAAGTAAATCGACCTCTTCCTCGAGCTTTGGATCGAGGTCACCCGCTAAACCCACAATTATTTTCACGAATTAAGACGAGGCTTTTCCTACCGGCCGCCTTGAGCCTTCGTTAGACTCGGCTCACTAGTTTCCAGATAACGATCTCTGCGCATTGAGGAAAAAAATGCGGATAATTTTTCTCCTCTTTGAGATACATTATTTTTAGAAAGCACGATCGTATCGATCTCTCTTATCAATTGTTTTCGTGGAGATGCATGATGCAACGCTCCACGTGAAGGATGTATTGGCTATACAGTCAATCCGAAAAGTTTATGTACCTTAGAAAAACGCATTTCCTATAATTAAAAATAGTGCACTTTTCTTCAAATTTCGATATTTAATGAGTTACATATGATTATTTGGCATTTTATTGATGTTGACAAAATCCGACCATCCCCAAGTCAGTTGTTGAAAGCTGTGTTCCTCTGCGAGGTAATTCATGCACGAGATCTTGCCTATTATTATTATTATTATTCGTTAGCTGCACATGCTATCAATTTATTATCTAATAAATTGGTAACACGGTTCATAAAGGAATTTGTGGTGTTTGTAATTGTAAAGTCAATACCGCGCATTCCTACACATTTACTACGATAATTAATTAAATTGAAATTGTTGTTACGGACAGGCATTATTATAGATTATTTTACATGAAATTACGTCGACGGTTGAATTCTGTCGATGGATATATTCCGGCGGGTAACAAGAATAATTGTTATTGTGTCTAGCTTGAAGAAAGCCAGTGATACAGCGATGGTTCGTATCAGGTTTCGGTATTCACGTTCGGGCGAACAATCGCTCATTCGAAAATGTCCTCGAGTTTCGAAGTCTGATAATGATGTCTCGCTATACACGAGTCAGCGTACGTAGATACCGTTCTATTGTAGATAAGGCGTTTTGCAAAATGCCCCATTTAACACTTCAATTTCCATAGAAAGTTCATTCTGCTTTCTCCCATTTACTCTTCATTGTGTGAAATTTCATACAATAATTGTTATAACCGTTCAGATAACGATTTATACAGATTTAAGATTGTACGAACCCTTAAAACCATAAAATAGCAATGAGAAAGCATTGAAATCTTAACAGCTACTAGATATTGATTGAACGTTTGACATAATAATAATAATAATAACTGATACATCTGACGATCCGATTAAATGAATTCTACGTATTTGCCACGAGGCACGTCCGACGGACACAAGTACAATTACAAATGGCATTTGATATTGATTTACTCTGTATTGAAAATGCAAATGGGTCGGAATCCGACGGGGTCTGTGCTAGTATAAGCTGAGAGACGTTGAGATTTGCTTATGGCACATCTTCGTAACTATCCGAAGCAGTAGCTCGAGTTAGAGCCGGCGATTATAAATGAAGTTCATTGTGTATGAGTTGCTATCAATTTAACAGTGGCCGCGATGATCACGTGCGTATCTCGCGATCCCCTGTGTCATTTCTTCCGTCAGCTCTCCACCTTCGTTTCGTTTTCGTCCTCCGAGTAATTCTCCGGGTTTCACCCTCGAGCCCGTCGCTAGACGATTTTCCACCGATTCGACATAGACAATTCTGTTAGATCGTCTATGAATCGTCGCGTAGCTGGCTGGGTCAGTAGGTTGTTCGCGCCGAGCAGTTCTCAGCTTCGATAGAAAATCTTTTCGTTAATAAATCCCAAGTCCGGTTAAACGAATATTTTATGTGGGAGGATAATACGATCGAGGGTTCGGTCGCAAGGTTTACGTAATAAGAGTCAGGCGTCTTTGTCAGGCTTGTAAGAAGGTTCCATATTAGTCTATTACGTGTTATAAGTTGCACTGATCTCTTATTATGGTAGCTTTTAAACTGAGTTAAGGTCACCGTAACGAATATACCAGCGTGTTGGCTGTTAGAAAAACGAGCAGCTCGAACGTTCTTTCAACGTCTATTCTACCTTTTTCCCTTACTGCAAACAATAGAATTGATAGGAGTGTCGTTCTTAAAATAGGAACCCTTAACAGCAGTCTCAGTGGCCGGACAATTGATACAGGCAGAAAAAACTGGTGCTACTTGAAAACAAGGTCAGATGGAACGAACGTTTAACGAACCGACTCTTTTTATCATACTTGTACGCGGAGCACATTTCAGATGTCGTACTCGTGTTCCCGACTTCAAAGTTTGTGGCTCCTAGAACGTCTGCATTTTCACTGATCTATATAACGTTCGATCAAATCGATCGATCGTAATTAAATCAAATTGATTCGATCGAGATTCGAAGATTAAATTAGGTATTGTCAGATCTCTGAAAGTATCGACACGCCGTGACCGTAGAGATTAGGTTTAAAAAAACGAAAGCAATTACATATTACACCCGAGCGTTTCTGCCCTCTGTCCGACTCGGGAGAAATATCGAACATCTCCAACTTGTTTGCCCATATGTAATTATGGTGAACGTGCGTTATCCAGTTTCTCATTGACTCGTCATGATTTTATCAACGATTCTTTTCATTGTTAAATTGTTGATTTTCGTGAGACGAGTGGACCGAGTAGAACGTAGAATATCCTCGTTAATAATGGGAATGGCATTGGGCTTGGGAAGCGGTATCGATTCGCTTGGGATGCACTTGACGCTTTTATAGCCGCGATCAATTAAAACCGCGGCACGGAGATGTAAAGTTTTATTGAATAATAAAATGGAACCGATAGCCGGGATTTTAATAGAACGCTCCTTACGTCAGAGCGATCGTTATCATATAATCTCAAAGTTAAATGCTAAGAACAATCCAATTTGTGTTTCACACAGTCATAGATGCAGTATTTCGTGTAGTAACTTACATACGATGAATGAGAGAACAATTAAAATGACGATTGATGGAATGGTGATTGAAACGTTTGATGTTAATTTCGCAGAATACACCGCGAGAGCCGAAGCAGTACCGTTCGCCGTATGGGTGCCTGGGTTGACGATCGTTACGCGGAGGAGGAGGCGGTCCCGATTAACCAGGGCCCGAAAAGAAGGAAAGCGTCGCTTACCCTGGGCCACGTTTGCGATGGTGGCGGTCCAGGCGAGATCCGCGGCACGAGGAAGCAGAAAAATTTGCCCAGGTCGTCGTCGTCGTCGCTGTTGCCGTTACGCCGCCAGTTCACTAGACAGCTATACGAGTGGCCGTGTATACCGTTGTTTAAGTCAAGGACGAGACTAGATCAGTTTTGAATCGGTCGCGAGACGACGATCGTTTTTCACGACGCGACGTACACTGTGACTCTGGTACCGGTGTGCGCACGTGTTTCTTTCAAGCGAGGAGACACCGATCCGGCGAAGGGGGGGTGAGAATTCGATGCCGTTACGTGCGATTCATCGGGGTTGAATCAGAGGCTCGGTGCCAGGCAACATGGCCAAGTTCAACGGCGAGGAGAAGAAAGTGACTCAGTCGAGCAAGAATCAACTGGAGACGGTTGGGAGAGAGGAGGACGGGGGTATCGATGAACTGAGGAACGGACAGGTCACGCAGAAAAGTGACGAGGAGCTGTTGATCGAGAAACAGCATTCCTCCGTGAACAGGACCCCCCAGGAGACGCCGCGCAAGTCGTTGTCGCGCAAAGGTAGCGACAATAGCGCGTCCTTGGAATTGAACTCGATAGTGAAGAACGCGTACCGGCTCAGGAAGGATTCCGATCAAATAGGGATCCTGTCCGAGAAACGACCGAAAGTGTCCAGCGATCTCAGCTACGAGAACGACGCGGCGGCGATCGAAAAGGACGATGAGGAAGAGCGGAACTGTTTGGAGAACAGGACGTACGACGGATACGGGGAGTCTGGCACGAAGATTCGACAGGAGGCGAGGCAAGAATTGAGAGAAGCGGCACAGAATTCGGTGAAGAAACCAGACAGCCTTTACGGCAAGGAGAACACGTCGAGTCCGCCGAAACGTAAAAGCGTGTTCGCGGAGAGGAACTTGATATTCGGCTCGCCGACGAAGATCCTCTCGTCGAAGAAGCACTCGGCCTCGGAGAAGAGCACCGAGAAACTGGTCAACGGTAAATCGCCGCGAGAGGACAAGCAGCAGCACCACGTACAATTCAATAAGGATTCGAAGAAGCAGCAGCAGCAACAGCAGCAGGAACAGTGTTCGGAGAGGCCGCATCCGAGCCCGTCGACTGTGGCGTCGACGAGCAGCAGCTCGGAGGACAATTCCAGCTTGGGGCAGTTCGAAGCCACGCCACCGGACGGCGGCTGGGGATGGGTGGTCGTCGCTGCGTCTTTCATGGTGAACTTGATAGCGGACGGTATCACGTTCTCGTTTGGCGTGATCTACGTGGAGTTCCTCAATTATTTCGGCGAGGGAAAATCGAAAACTGCTTGGATCGGTAGTCTGTTCATGGCGATGCCGTTGCTGTCCGGCCCGGTGGCTAGTTTCCTCACGGACAGGTACGGTTGTCGAAGGGTCTCTATAGCGGGTAGCATTCTGGCTACCGCGGGGTTCGTCATAAGTTCTTACGCGAACTCTATGGAGGTTTTGGTCTTCACCTTCGGCGTTCTCGCCGGCTTCGGTCTGTCCCTGTGCTTCGTCGCAGCCGTGGTCATTGTCGCGTACTATTTCGACAAGAAGAGATCCTTCGCGACGGGCCTGTCCGTGTGCGGTAGCGGCATCGGAACGTTCATATTCGCCCCGGTCACGCAATACCTGTTGGCCGAGTATGGATGGCGAGGCACGACGCTGATCTTGGCCGGGCTGTTCCTCAATCTGGCCGTCTGCGGGTGTCTGATGAGGGATCTGGAGTGGACCACCACTAGGGCGAAGGCGAAGACCGAGGAGAGACGGAAGAATCGGGAGAAGAAGAGGACCAGGGTACAGAGCTCGAGCGTGGACTCGTTCTCCGCCAATAGTTCGCTGCACACCCTTACCAGCAGGGAGGAGAAGCCTCGGATTCAGGAAGAGGAGGACGGCGAGAAACTGTTCTCCAGCCTGGTGAGTTTGCCCACGTTCGTGAAGAACGGTGAGAAGGTGCCGTTGGAGGTGGTGGAACTGCTCAGTACGAGGAAGAACGTGTACAACGTGCTACTGCAAAATTACCCGAGTCTACTGATCTCCTCGAGGAGCTTCAGCGACTCCGGACAGCTGCACGATCAGATGAGCACGCTTTCGGCGAGGTTCGTGCCCACGCCCAGCTCCTTGTCCGAGCTGAAAACTGATGAGAACAGGGACAAGGTCTCGCCGAGCGAAGAGGAGCAGACCGTGCAACAGCAAACGGAAGCTGCGTGGCGGCTGTGGTGGCTGAAGAAGATCAACCTGGATAGCTCGTCGACGAGGAGATCGAGCACCGTTGAGCACTCCAGGAGACTACCCACTGCCCATTTGAAAGACATGAGAGTCCACCGGCACAGCCTTACGCACAAAGGTGCTATGGTCAATATAAATCGGCACTGGCTACGGGCGTCCAGTTGCCCCGATATTTATAGAAAGTCGATGGACACGATGGCGAAGACCAAACTCGTCTGGTACGCCGGTCTCTGGGAGTTTTGGGACCTGATCGTTGACATGCTCGACTTCTCTCATTTCGCCGACTCCCGTTTTCTGCTGTTCGCCATCAGTAACTTCCTCCTTCACACCTGGTACGACGTGCCGTACGTATATCTGACGGACAACGCGATCGAGATGGGCTTCAGTCAAACAGATGCTTCCATATTGATCTCGGTCATCGGGATAACAAACATGGCTGGCGAGGTGAGAATCGATTCATTGAAACGAGATCAGATGTTCTTCATTTTTCTACGAGTAGTCAATGGTAACGATATTCGTCTCCAGTGGAATTTTTCCTCTCCACGTTTAATCGCGCCTCGATAATGATCGTTGAAACGTGCCGCGACACGAAATCGCGGCAACATGGAAATTTAACAATGCAAGTGCAACTTGACGTCCCTTGACTTGTCGATAATTCTAAATATCGATGTTTATTGTTCAACGGGTTCTCCTTTGCACCGCTACTTTGTGCCTCGTTCCAATATTAGTTCGCCTCGTGCCGCTATTTATCGATCAATAAACAAAGACCTCCGCGTTCTGATTCCTGAAACGATCCTTTCTTCTATTAGTAAAACATGGAAAATTCGGATTCAATTGTAACCGGTTTTCTAGGGCTTTAAATCCTTATGCAACAGCCTGGATAAATATTCTTTCTTCAATTACGTGGAATCGTCTTACATCGCACAGTCTATAGATAATAATCGTTCGTCATTGTAATAATCGAGTTCTTAAAAAATTCAAGATCTCAATCGCGGCCAGCTTATGAGTAACAATCTTTTTACACTGCTGCGATTCTTATTTTTAGTCGAGTCGAACATTTTCAAGTACGCTTGTAGGGCTTCTGGGAATAATATTTGAATCAGATCCTCTTTAGAACTTTATGCAATAGCAGATAAACATCGTGGAAACGTTTCACATTGATCTATCTTCCGTTGTAATCAGAGCTGCGTCTCATCATTCTAAAATATGGAACTTTGCATGAACCTAGGAACGCGCGCCGCTCGGATTTATCTGGATATCGAACGTTTCTGTTAAATCTGGCCCGCGTTACGTCAATCCCGTCTTAGGTCACTCAGTGACGCAGCGGGTCACTACTTTTCACCCTCGCCCTGATCTCATTTCATCGCGAACTCTCTTCGACCTTGTCTTTTGCGTCATGCAAGGGACTCCGCGTCCCCTGCAGCGTCGCGGATTGTCGTGCGAATAGAAAATTCCAAGAAAAGCCATTCGACCTCTATCGATTCCTGTATGAAACATAAAATGCACCAGCAGCTCTTTATCTTTGTGGAAACGACTCTAGGAGCGAACGACGGCCAAATAATGGGATTTCTTGCAGATTCTCCTCGGTTGGGCAGGTGACAGAGCATGGGTGAACGCATCCATCGTGTACGCGGTGTGCATGGCTCTCTGCGGCGCGGCGACTGCTTTAATACCGATGGTGGTCCACAGTTATTACACTCTCTGCGCGATCTCTGGTGCCTTCGGATTGTTCATCGGGGCGAATTACAGTCTCACCAGCATAATTCTTGTCGAACTGATCACACTGGAGAGATTCACCAACGCGTACGGCCTTCTGCTTCTGGTTCAAGGTGTCGCCAATCTCATGGGACCTCCGCTGGCTGGTAAAAAACTCAGATACACATTACTTCTCACGATAATATCGACACATGAATTACAATTCGTTAACACGGAATCTCTCTATGAATCGTACGATCGCAATGGCTTTAAGCTTGTATGAATTACGCTCCAAGTCCCATTGTCCTGCGGGAGCGAGTGAACTCGAGGCCAGCTGGTTTAAACGCGTATTTACTGTTTCAGGATGGCTTTACGACATCACAGGGACGTACGATCTCTCGTTCTACCTGGCCGGTTTTTTTATCGCGTTGAGCGGAGTGCTCTTGCTGGCGATGCCTTTAATCAGTCTTTATCGGAGATGCTTGAACGGGTCGAGGAAGGAGGAAGCTGATACAGATTTCGCGAACATGAACAGAGTCTGAACGAAAAACGCCTGGAGACCGGTCGAACGATTTCTTGGAACGAACATCTGATATTATAATACGATACACATAATTTACTATGTATACTTATACTCATCGATTCAACGGAATTTACGGAAGCGTAATACTTCCAAACCAAAAGGAATTGCAATTAGCAGCTGTGTAATTAGTTTCACAGCGACTAAGTCTTTTTCTCGTAACGCGGTGAACCAGTCGCGCGCGTTTTTACATTCAATTAAGCGTTCGTGGTTCCTTCGTAGGATATAGAACGAGCCGATCAAAGAGTTCAATGATTCGTATAATGAACGTTTTCGAAGTATCTTCTTCTTTCATTAAGAATTTATACGTGATTTACGTTTCCGCGTTTGAACGATGGATCGATCCAACGAGGTAAATCGAAGATGAGTGATAACGATGTTCAACAGTCAGATTTATTTTACGTCGGATTCCGTGCGACCATCGTTCGCGGTCAACGACTTCACGATATCTAAAAGAACCTCGTATTCACTTTATACTCCGTAAACGCAATAATCGTGCTAGCGCATGTTCGTGAGTGCTGGCGCGGACTCGTCGCCGGTCTCTCTCGAATTTAAAAGCCATTAGAATCGACGAGATAAGAAGAGAAACAAAAGTTTACAATTAGTAATATAAAAACGGTATAAACCGTATGCTTGCTTTAGCGATCGGATGCGATCGATGGTTAAGAGAATCTCAGAGTAACGGTTGAAAGGGACGGAAGCATGTTCGAGGCTCGTCGTACACTTTTCCCACGGTGTCTCGACGAGGAAGCTGAAACGAAACACACGTTCCTTTCGACGCGGATTTATTGATTCGATTACGCGTGAATATTATATGACAAGTTATTTGAGAATAACGCCAAAGATATTGTAAATAGACATGATGCGAGAGATACGTACAGGTATAATGTATTAAAAGTTGTGCATCTTTAGTCGAACATTTTTTTCTTTTAGTTTGTGCTCTGCATATTAATTACGGTGGAATAATCCGGAAATAGGTGATCGGTGAATACGTTTCGTGTAATATTTTTGTATTAGTTTCGTCGGGAGAACAAACAAGAAGACGCAAAGTGAGAATAATATGCCGTTCCGATTTAGTTTCAATTTATACTCCTTTCGAGCGCGAGTTTCCGCATGCGAGGGTTTCGAGGCATGCATGTAAATAGGCGTATATGTATATATAAAAATATATATATATAGCTTTTCTGTGATGATGAACTTGAATTTTACGAATAGTTCTCGAGCTCCGAAATAGATGAATACCTCCGTTCCCATAGCGCGTGTGCGTGCGTGCGTGTAAACCACGCGTCACTAGCTTTATTTGCATCGCTATTATACTATGTCCATCCTAAGTGACATCATACAGTCATACAGAGACATTGTAACCGTCATTCTTCCCCAATCGACGCGCAACTTATATCCATTAGGGCGTCAACCGAATAAACCGCAGAATTGGTGGATTACGATTTTTCAAGACGGGTCAGTTTAGTTTAGACGTCGTTAGCGAGATTGAACGTGTCGAACGGTTCGCGAAAACGTGAAACGCGATGTAATTTAACTTGGATGTATCATGAGCAATTTTCTAGAGTATCGTTCGCGCATCCAGACGAGTTACTTTCAGAATTTTTACTTAGAACATACACTTATGACTGTACGAGGCCTTCTTACGAGAAAATTTCAAAGTATTTTCTTCGAACGAATATAAAAACAATTCTTGGATATTGAGAAGAAACAGAAAAACAGAGGATTACTGTTCGTCTTAAATACGCATATAGCGATATTATAATTCTATCGGCAGGTTTTTGCCATTTCGGTAATATAATAATTTATTCTTTGAGATCGTGGTACAATGTTGTACTAGTTGTACGGTGCGTGTGCCCGCGTTATGGTAGCGTAATTCACGCGTACGCGGCCTTACGGGCCTTAATCCTTTACAAAATGTATATAAAGTAATATTTTATTATGAAAAAACTGAAGAACTGCATTTCAAATATACATACGTATATATATATATATATATATGTATATATATATACATACATTATATTATATGATACGATAATTACGCAGTCGCGCGGGGTCGCTTCGCGGACTTTTCATCGAGTAGCGTTAAGGAGTCGTTAAGGCGAGGTGCGGGGCAAGAAACTTTTGTAAAAGAATTAGTGAGAACTCTTCTACGTAGATGCGAAACGAGGCTCGTTGCGCGTCTAACGTGCACGTCTTTGAAAAAAGAAAAGACGAGACGAGGAAGAAGAAGGTATGATGTTTCTGTTGGAGCTACCGAAGGGTACGTTTTGCCGCACGAACGATCGAGTCGCGTGGATAAACCCAGCGACGTCGAAGCGTGTCCACCGAGCGTGTCTTAAGCATTGAGTTTAATTCTCTTGTTCACCGTTGACTCAATAATAATCGGAACGTTCTCACTACCTCTTTATCGATAAGGTGTCCTAATATTTAAACCCGTGGTCGATCGCCTCGAGAGATCTGTCGTACGATTGAAAGTGGCTTAAAAAGTCTGCGCGAACACGGGGGACGAACCGAGGCGGCGCAGAACTAAGAGGGGATCGTTCAATTAAAGGTAACGGGGTTTCTTTTCGAACTGTAAAACAGGGAAATTTCGCGCGGGTTCGCTCTTTCGGTCTTATAATACATTTAGAACTAAGGACAAGCATACTACAACTTGCTTGCTACGTGGTCCAAAAGTGAGCGATTCTCCCGATCGCTTGTAGCCTGGATATTCGTGAGCGATTCTATTTCTCCCTACTTACCGTTCCAAAATTCTCCTCTAGAACATTCGTTGTATCAATTCCTGTCTCATCGAAGGAGATTACTTTCGACAATGGTTCTCTATATATAATCATCGAATAATAGGAACGTTTCCTCAACAACTTTGTCTTCACTTTTCAATATAATGTACTCAGCCCACGATTGTCCTGCCGAAAGAACGGTCCCGCTGTAGTTAACAGGCAGTACTGTTCCATTGTGAACGTAACACGGAGACTTACGTTATTAAGACTCCTTTTTAGACTTTATTAGAAGATCGACCCATTTTTTCAACTGTATAAATGTGTATAATTGCACAGGCTACACGTACACTGGCACACATACACATACGTTCATGTACAATATAAATGTGTACTACTCACACGTACAAAGGTATGAAACTCTTATTTCAACTAAAATGAAAAATAAATTCGAAACTAATTCATCTACCGTCTTTCATTTCGACCCTCCTCTCAATTTGTGATCAGTCCTCACGTCCATAGGACGGAACGATCTTAAGTATCGTTTTTTGTTTTCAAATTTTTGGCAAACGCGTGTTGCGTTAGCATGTGCAAGATCGAAGGAACGAGCTTGCGCTCTCTCGGCCTCGGTCAGGTGTACTCGGAAGCGTTTCAATGACGCGGAGCGCACGAGCCACCGTTGAACGCCGCCTCAGTGCCCAGGGCGCGTTCAATCGAAGTGGTTACGCACACGCGATAAAGAAATAAGGGAACGAAATCGTCGTTCGCATTTTCGTGAGAAGCGTGCGCGTGTGTCGGCCGAGAGGATTTCCTTGGCGCCGGAGAGCCGAAGGGCGGGTCCTTTCTCTGTTCCGTGAGGGTGGTCCGCTGGAAGCGGAGAACGCTGTGGTGAACAGTCCTCGTGGGTAAGTTGACAATTGGCGAATCGTCGTGCGTGCACGAGTGCCTATAACGGAGTCGTTTATCGTTAAACGCCAAAGTAGAGGATACAATGTAATTTTCTTAATTAATCCTTATCACGCGTCTTTCCACGTTTCCGGTATTTCACACGATTCTTAACAGTCTATTTTTATATCAGTTTCGTGACGGATAAAGCTCGTTAAAATTTTGATGCGATACGTAAGTATCTAAATTATTGACACCGGTTAAATTTAATTAAAAATAGATCATGTATTTGAGATGAAGATCGGTGCGTTAAGTGACTCACGAATTTCTATGATTTGCTCTTTTCGGTTTGTTTGCTTTGAAGTAGATAAAAAAGATTCAGCGTGTTAGTCTTTAGCACTTTACATTCCTCATACGCCTCTACATATATTTGGCACCATAAACCACTCTGGACTTATTCGTACATTCTTTGATAGTTTCAATGATAGATGAAATAATTTCGTTATGATTTAGAGAATGAGCGACACGAGTCGTAGACGAAAACTTGTTTGTCAGACTCTGCTTTTGTACGTCGAGGAATGATCGAATATCATATCGATCTCTTTTCGTTATCAGTAGGACCATTGTTCTTTGGCTTCGATAAGAGCGAACTTTTCCCGTCAGAAAATATTTAGATAAAAAGAAAACGTCGTCATTTCGCGCGTCGCCTTGTTTTCGTCATCCTCAAATTTGTCTACCCCCAACCGAAGTCAGTAGACGTCTCCTGAAAAATGGGAAAATAAAGTATAGTCGAAATCAAGAGAGCTTTGCATAATAAATCGTATTATCTGTATCGTTACTATGAATCGTGTTAACATAAATCACACACGAGTCTGCGTATTGAATATTTTTCAGTACTTGCCGTGTTGTCTGATTCTTCAAAAATGGAAAATCGGTCGTGACAAAAATTCGAACGAATCAAGAGAACTCTTCACATGTTTCATAAATCGTCTGAACGCAATTACACACGAGTCCGAGCCTCGATGAGCTCTCGATAGTACTCGCTATACCATCCAATTTCTTTGACCTACATCTTTACGTACGAAGTTACGTTACGTTATCCACTACCAAGTGCATACTATGATATCGATTACAAGGAGGTGAACATCCACGCGTTCCACGGAAAACCAATTACGGATGAAAAAAAGAAAAATAACATTACGGATTACTCAGACGTCAGACTCAGAAGCGTAGGTGTTTAAGACAAATTACGTCAGGGGCCGATCGTTCTTAGCTCGAACTGTCTAACAAGTTCATAGAAAAATGGTATATGATACTGAACGACACACGAAATACCAAAAGTGAAATCCGTATTACGATTCTCAAGATAGAAAAATGAAATCCTATTTAGATTTCATTTTCTACGTTCACGTTACAAATGGTTTATTTTGTATGAAGATCAGCGGTCTAGTTATCAATTATCTTACATCGCAAAGAATGATAATTACAAAATGATTCTATCGTCAAACATTGTAAGAGTAAACACGTGGGTGTTTGGTCGCAAAGTAGAGAATGTGATAAAGAGGAAGCTCTCGTAGACGGTTCAATGTCCTTTAGGCGGGTCTGAATTCTGTACGTAACAGTTATGTAACCGATTACTTTTACGACTCAGGTAAAATTGCGGTAACAGCATTGACATTCGCGTGACGGTTAAACGTCGCGTCTCAACGATGCATTTCACATGATTAGACGGGGACCGATGTCAGTCGAAATAGAACGTACAAACAAATTAATTTATCCAGCGTATTAATTAAGATTCTAAATGAGAGATCGATACCTGGCCCTTGCTTCTTACGTATTTGCAAAAAGAATTATATTCAGCTATTGTTAGGAGTCAGAGAGCACACGTTGCAACACGAGCATGATGGCGACAGATCAATCCCGCAAATATTAACATTGCCATATTTATGCAACGATAATGTTACAGATTACAGTTTGTTCATCAATCGACGATGTCGATAGGCTGTGTGCGTTTAGATATTCCATTAAGTTGATCAGAAATATTAGACGAATGATTAGTATCGCTATTACAGACCGTGGATTTTTACATAACATTTAAGAAATAGATTTCAGATCATCTTATCGTTCGCTCACTGCAGTACAAACTTTCTTCTATATCTGACAGAGTCTCATGTATGAGAATGTAGGATTTCTCTTCTAAATGCATCGAATCTTCAATCTAGTCAGGAGTCGTGTCAGAATCGATGTCAGCCTCGACCTTTGAGGGGAATCACGTTTGCTCGGACGAAATAAGCTTCGATCGCGGCTGGTTCGTCAATTAAAGCCGCGAGTATCGAAATCGGGTTTGTTGATCTCCTTCTTCCGACAGACGAAGAGACGTTGGGAATCGACCACGGCGGTCGTCATGGTGACTCCCCTCGATCGCCCGCCTTTAAACCGCTTCTCCTGATTCATCCTGACTGCTATATTGCATAAATTTCGTAGCCAAAAAATATGCGTACTCGTGACCTGATCTCCTTATCGCGATCGACCACATCTCACAGACGTTCGGACTCGGATTTCAGACGTCAGAATCTAGGACAGAAATTATCTTATTGCATCGTAGATATCATCTTTGCATTTTTCATTTCGTATTCTCTTTTCTTATGAATCATTGTATATGTACCACGGGACAATAACGTATGTACAATCACACTGATCAGTGCACTATTTTAACGTGTTCCTGGCTATCGACCGTTTTCAGTGTCGAAGAAACCGATTAAAGAACCGATTACCGTGGACTTGGTTCATTACGTCTCGAGTAAAGTCACCAGCAATTGTGAATGACAAATACGCAGGACGATTAAGAACCTATCGCGTGCCGGCTACTAATATTCGCTTCTGATAAGGTGCGACCTTGGCCACACCTCGTGGGTAAAGGTCCGCGGAGAATTAAAAGAACAATCCCAACGAATTTGATGCATTTCTCCGATATCCATAAAGAATATTAGAAACTGGATGTATCTTCAGATACTTAAACGACAGAAGAAACGTTTGTCTAAACTGGTACCGCAGATGTTCCAGTTTCCATAAAAATCAGTGTAGTCACAATATTGGTCATTAAACATTTTCACTCGACGATCAAACTGTAATTAACTGGAATCTTAACCAATCGTCTTGATATATTCAAAGAAAAATGTCTTTTATCGAAGAGAACTTGTATCGATGTAACTCGTTTCTTTCTTATCATTATAAATATTTGCCGTGCTCGTTGATTTGTTGAATGAAACAAGGAACTCGAGCGGAGTTACACGCGCGAGTCTGATCTGTGCCATTAGATACTACTTGAATTTTGTTTTCACTCTCGTTTCACGTGTCGTACGCGATAACTCCGATACCGATCGCACGTTAAATCACAGGGAGGCAAAGAAATTTTTAATTTCCAAAAATGACATCAATGATCGATCAAGTGATATTTTCCAATCCGCCAGAGAATCTGATCACGAGGTTTAAGCCGGTGCCAAAAGTCTTCTTGGACCGTTTACCAACGCCGAATTAATTACTTGATAATTATCGGTGGTACTGGTTAATCAAGAACACAGGATTATATAATTCTCGTTCGTCTTTACGCCGGTATTTCAAGGTCGTCAAGGCTAATAGAGTACTCGTGGCAGGAGGAAAAATGAAAAGGGTAAACGTACTTAAAATAGCCCTGGAGCGTATCGATTGAACCCCCATCGGTTCTCCGATAAAGCTACAAATCACATGCCTAAGGTTCGCCGGTTTATCCATATTAATCTGCTAACCCAGTGACATAATTCTATATAATTCGAGTATCTCACAAACATTGTAAACATGAGACCGACACCCTTTCATTCACAATGAAATAAGAAATCTGTCCATGAAGATCCTAATAGCAAGTGCGACTTGCCTGTACAGAATAAGTAGCCATCTAAGAAAAAGAAATTCATCGTAAAGAGAGAATTATCTTCAAGATCGATAGTTATGAAACTGCATACTATTATTGGATCACGCCCATATAGCGGATATTTGATTTTAGCTTTCTGGCTGCGAACGCCTCAGCTTCCTTCGCGAACGCATCTACATATAATCGTAATACAAAATTGTAACACGTAGAGATACGACACAAAAATATACGTTTTAAGACTCGTATGTTTGTGTTGCGTCTCTCGAAGATTTCTTGTGTTAAATTCCTCGAAAAGCAGAGAATTAGATAGAAAAATGAAATAGGCTGGCTCGAAGCCTATCAAATGCTTCTTAACAGGTGATTCATTACCGTCTTTATCAGGGTGCTCGACACAGAAGTCGACCTTCTGTTATTTATATAAGTGATAATTGATAAAACGTTTTAGGACTAATCAAATTCGTGAACACTAGCGGATCGATCAAGCGACGCGTTTCTGAAGCAGGAACGAGTAGCCAGACAATGTTAATACACCCTAATCGAACACTGTCGTTTCATTGTTTTTCAGAGATAAGAGCGATTCGTACGAGAGAGCAATCGTGTGATATACAAATACTTTGTTAATAGCAGAATTTAATTTTAATTAGAAATTATAGTAGCTATAGAATATCCTTTAGATTTGTTGCCTGCGCTTAGAATAGAATATAGAATACAGATCTATATGAAATGTTCACCTGGATAATGAAAAATTATCACATGATTTATAATATAAAATATTATCTATCAGTATAATTGTACTTACGATAATATTTAAATGTGTGAATAATGTAATTGCGCACTTGTCACTGTTTTTTTTATAATCACATTTATATCTTGTTTCAGGCATTTTTTTTTTTTTTTTTTAGGCACTAATTATTATTTTTCTTCCCCGTACTGCAACTGACTCGTACGCTTTTAGTGAATTTAATAGCTTAAACTTAAATGGTCGACCACAATTTTCTTTTTTCCTCTTCTATCGATTTTCTTTTTATTTGCTCACACCGTTCAGTGTCGCATGCACGTTCCTAGACTTAGACACGCATGCACGTCTGTAGATCATTTCGCACTACCTCGATGGTGAGTAAACACTTTTCTTTTCTCCTCACTAATGCTTCACTTATATATTTCTCTGTGGCTAATTTAAGAATAATCTCGTTAATGTATTATTACTTAGGAACTATCTCGCTTTCGTATTATTGAACGGATACGATTTCGCATTCGCAGGAGTAGGAAGAAGACGGAGCGTGCATGCTGAAGCGGGAGACGCTCAGTGATCCGGCAAAGATCTGCGAAGAGATCCTTATGGTAGCTGAGGGGCGCGAACGATCCTTCCCGAGCGAGATCCAAGGGCTGAAAGGTTGGCCCCGTCGTTGGATCCACTCGGCCATCACCTACATTTAGAAATACCAACGATGACCGACCGAAACGAGAACTTCCTGTGCAAAGATGAATCCACTGGGCGAACCATCTACAAACCCGGCTGCAATTGGAACAACAACAACGATGTCCGGAACAACGGGACTAACTTGATCAGAAGAGATCCAAATTATCATCGAACTAACCATCAAAATGATCAGGCGAACTCGAATTACCTGCCGAAAAGGGCACCGATCGTCGGCTGGCAAAATGGCAGCCCCACCGTTTTCCCTAGTACGCCGTGCCGTACTCCCGATCCAGAATTGCACGACGCGATAATCCTGTCCCGCTCGCACAGCGCCGGTTCCTCTACGAAGAGTTCGGGAATCTGTCAGGAAAATACGGAGAACCTCAGCAGCCTGGCGGACGAGAGACTCTTTCAGTCGACACCGGCACACACCATCGACCGTAGCGTCGAGTCCTTGTCGCCCGACAAAGACACCTTTCTGACTACCTCGCCGGAGATTGGTAGGAGCAAGGATCTGAGCTTGCCCGATGACATAGAAGACAAGATCGATCTGTTGAGTCCAGGAACGGATTGCACAGAGGAGAAAATGCTTCCTGTCGGCAACAACTATCGCATCTCACTGATCGCCGAGTCGCAGGCTCTAGAAAAAATCGGGGAGAGACCGATGATCACTTCCAACCCTGGTTACACGGAACACGACTCTCGCGATTCCATTGATTCCAGCGTCGACGAGCTGAGCGTCACGGGGAAAGATGAAGAGATCAAACCTAAGGTACCCGACGGTGGTTGGGGCTGGGTGGTCGTGTTGGCCTCTCTGGTCATTTCCATGATAGCCGACGGGGTGTCCTTCAGCTTCGGTCTTCTGTACATCGAGTTCCTCCAGGAGTTCGGCGCGTCGAAGTCGAAGACGTCTTGGATCGGTTCTCTATTCATGGCCGTACCACTTTTGTCCGGACCTATCATGTCCGCTCTGGTAGATCGTTACGGCTGCAGGAGCATGACGATACTCGGAGGCCTGATCGCGGGCCTAGGCTTCGTGCTGAGCTCGTTCAGCAACACCATCGAGGTAATGTATCTGACGTTCGGCGTCATCGCTGGTCTCGGTTTGGGTCTGTGTTACGTCACTGCGGTCGTGAGCATCGCGTACTGGTTCGACAAGAAGCGAACCCTAGCTGTAGGTCTGGGCGCGTGCGGCACAGGCATCGGTACCTTCGTCTACGCCCCGATGACCACGTTCTTCATCGACGAGTACGGCTGGCGGGGCACGTGTCTGCTACTGGCAGGTACGTTCTTCAACATGATCGTCTGCGGTACGGTGATGCGGGATCCCGAGTGGTGGATCTTAGAACAGCAGAAGCAGAACGGAACCACGCCGAAGAAGTCGATCACCAAGTCTGAATTAAATGGATCCAGTGGAAGTCCCGTCGACGAGTTCCCTGGCGTCGACGAACTAAGGAGGATGCTGAAGAGCGGCCACACACCCGAGTATCTGCTGCAGATTCTGAGTACCACGACGGAGGATCCGCAGACTGCGAACGGGGATTTCAAATTCAGAAGCGTGGTCAACTTACCTACTTTCGTCAAACATAACGAAAAGGTTCGTTGCTGATCGTCGAAGGGACTCTGTCCCCATCGATGATTTGCATTTAATATGTCATGTGCTAGAAAGAGGCCGATTGAAATGATTCCAGGTACCCGTGGAAGTGTTAGAATCGCTGTCAAGCAATCCCAGGTTGTACAGAGTGATTTTGGAGAACTATCCGAATCTTCTATCCTGTAGAAGTTATTCGGATAAGATGTTACACGATTCATTGGGGGAGGTCGGCAACAAAAGCGTCGTCACCATGTCGATGAGGTTCACCATTCGATCTTGCTATTAATTATTTTTACCTACCTTCACGAAATTAATTTATAGAATTTATTAATCGAAAGAATCAAGCAAGCGCACGACGAGAAGCACGAGGACTCGCACGTGGCGAACAACGTTCATTCAGGCAACCCTCTGAAGAATCATATAACTAAGAAGATGTCTAAAAAAGAATCGGAAGAAGCTAATCCATTACTGTCCAAAGAAGTAGAATACGCGGTGAATAAAATAACGCTGACATTCCCAATTTCAAAGGGATGACAGTAAACTGTATTCGATTTATTCGTAGAACGAAGGTAGGAAATCGAAGTCGGTGTCGAAACAACGAATCGGAGAACTGAACTGCGGGGTCGTAAGAACCGACTCGCTTCCGTGGCTGCGGAGGCAGTTCAACACGAATACTCACTACTTCAAAGACATCAGAGTTCATAGGAACTCGGTGATGTACCGCGGGGCCGCACTCAATTTACACAAATACAGATTAAGGGCTAGCAGCTGCCCCGACATTTATAGGAACAGCATGACCACATTGGCCAAAGAAAACGAAGAGGTATTACACACAGATAGAATGCATGAAATCCGATGACAATTATAAAATCTTACTTTTTAGAAATGGTACAGCGAACTGGTAGAATTGCTGAAGGGTATGATGGACTTCTCGATGTTTCTCGAGCTCCACTTCTTGTTCCTATCGCTCTCGACGATCTTGTTGTTCACTTGGTTCATCGTGCCTTACTTTTATCTTGCCGAACACCTAACCAGAAACAGTTACACCGAGTCCGACGCCGCGAATCTCCTCAGTATCATTGGCATTACCAATACGATCGGAATGGTACCGTTACTTTTATTTCTAACTCACTTCACGTAATCACCACGCTTCACCTGTTACACTACTAAGCACGCATGCAACTTCACTACGTTTCCAATAAATCTGTATAGCCCGTCGCCATTTGTCGGCTCAAATTCTAGTTTGAGGCTACGTCCTGTCGGATACTAATAAATTATAAAACATGTGTGGCAATTTCTTGTTACTTATTACCAGATCGGGCTCGGTTGGGCGGGGGACCAACCCTGGATGAACGTTTGCAAGACGTACACCTGGTGCCTCGTCGCTTGTGGCGTAGCGACGATCTTGATGACTACGTTCACGCCTTCCTACAACCTGTTGATGGCCACCTCAGCGGCGTTCGGTCTCTTCTTCGCTAGCAACTTCAGCTTCACGCCTGTGATACTCGTCGAGCTGATACCACTGGAGAGGTTCACCACTGCCTACGGCCTCAGTCTCCTCTGTCAAGGTATAGGAAACCTCCTCGGTCCTCCACTGGCCGGTTGGCTGTTCGACGTAACAAAGTCGTGGGATTTATCGTTTTATATGGCCGGTGGTTGGATCGTCGTTTCCGGATTTCTGGTAGGTCTCATACCGTATACAAAGAATCGTAAAATCTGGGGCAAGGGTCCGATAGAGATGGAACGCGAGACGGACAGTCTAGCTTAAATTAATAATTGAAAATTGGAAAACTCGTACAATAAAAGTATAACGATTGTCGGGGGTTAGACACGTTGCCATTGGTTGTATCGTCTTTTATAGTTATTTGGTAAGTCTCATCGCGAAATCTGAGTCAAAGACCCGCTAGAGCAGCTTAGATCGAATTTGTTAATAGCAGATGGTGGATGTTCGTGCGAAATTCGATGTAACAACAGACGAATTGTAGTACTTAGAACGATTTGCATGAATATCCGCGATCTCCTCGCTAGCAATTGTTGATTATTCCTTTATTTATAATTTTTTAGTTTGCCATTCACTGTGCTCGTTTTTCTATATTCTTCTTTCAGTCTGTCGTCTCGACAGCGTTGATATTAGTTCACGACGAAGGGTACTACTATTTATGAAGTTTGATGTAAACTAAATGTACATATGTTGATAGCATGAAATTATTTTAGCTCACATTTGCTAATACTCGATCTTACTCCGCGATCAGTGATTAGATAATAATTATTATTATATCTAATTCGATGGTCGAATCGTTTCCAATTACAAATCTGAGTGTTATATTTCGCTCAGGGAACGTTTCCTCAAAGTGAACGTGTCTTTTTCTAATAAAAAAGTGAAGACGAAAAAATATTTCTGAAGATAGGTAAGACGTCTATATTCATATTCAATTACATTACTTTCTACTTACTATAAAACTGTACTTGGTAGCTATAATTGAAGTACGAAGGAGTTAATTATACTGTTACAATATGTACTTCTAAACTTCTGCCTTATGAGATCCATTATGGATAACGAGTCGAGAAATCAAAAGTCTGCCGTGCTAAATAAAGTGGTGCACCTTTTCACATCGTTGTAACAGAACGTCCCAACTGTGATCGTAATCGATGTCAGATGGTAGCTAGAAAAATTGTCCAACTAACAAGTGTACCTTAGTTAATAAGTACTTGACTATGAGAGTGGCCTATAAATTACTTGAACGTCTCCTTAAAAATTCCACTCCTCTCGCATTGTATCTTATCTTACGGATTCTAAGAATTTGCTTTAAGAGAATATCGAATGAACTTCTCAGTTACAAAGTGATTTACAAGTCGCTCTTTAAAAGTCCAATGATAGTAATTTATACACGAACGCGATTCGACGGACCTGTTAGATCGTTAGATTTTTCGATACTTCTTTACAGTATTTCGAGATGTTTAATCAACGAATTTCACGGCAGGGGCGTAAAGGAATAACGCGGCTGGAACGTTACTTAAATACATCTTTTCATTTACCCCGTATTTACTTAATGTTGGACGATATATCCGTTAGATAAATTAAACGATGAAACATTATTTTCTGTAGGTTTCATTAAACATCGAGGAGGATTGATATTTTATTAAAAACGTTTATATGTATATGTATAAATGTGATTCTGTTATGAGTGCAGGATGTAAAAAATTGTATACTCTATCCCTTATGTTCCACCGATCTAAAATGCTCACTCACGAAACGTTGTTTACCGGATTTTTTACATCTTGTACAATAATTGTCTAAGATACGTGCAATATGCTTCCAAGAGTAAACTAGTCAACGATGGCAATCAGATTGTCGCACTGGCTTCATCGGCGTTGCGACGAAATTGAAACTGGAGTCGCGCTACAAGAATTTTTGAGTCGTATTCACGATGGTACGTGTTATTAAAAATTTTCTTGATCTCTACGGTACATCTCGCGATTGAACCGCGATCGATAGATTGTTAAAACAGTGTATGTATAAATAGATACAAACGTGTATATTTATATAAATATATACATAGAATATATTACGAAACCTCCTCCCTGGTATTCTCTGGCAATAAATTCCGCTTGGTCGTTCGTTACTTCGTTTGACTCGGAGAAGGATAATGGCAAAACAGGACGGAGGCAGATATAAAGTCGGAATACAAGTTTATACAAAAGTAACAAAACATCGGTACAATCTTCTTTTCATTCCCTGCATCCCTTTTCTTCGGAAAAATCTCTTGCTTAAATAATAGTACACAATTTTAAATGTACAATAATAAATTCCAGGAAGTATCCTAAACCACGACACGGCGTCCGGTACGTCCCGTTCTCCACTTTCAAATGCCTTCAGCTTCTATGGGACATGCGATCTGAAAGTATCATAAATTATTTCGATACATAATCGTGTTATACATAAACTATACAAATTGTACAGTCACTTTTAATTGAATCATATCGGAGATATCCGTACAATTTAATTAATATCCCGGCGAGGCCATAAGGCTGATTGGACTCGGGGTCGAGTTCCTGCTGGGCATTCTCGGCACGCCGACCACGTTTGCGAGCGTCTGCACGCTCTTCGGGAAGGTCCTCGTGATCACAGCGTGCTCAGGCCCGATCAACGCGTCACCCATCACGCCTAATCGGATACCGTTTCTGTACCTGTGTAGAGTTATCGACATATCTGAAAGATGATAGAACACAGAATTTTGAACAGAGATATTGTTCCTTAGAATCTCTTTCATTCGGATTGATTCGGTGTGACGTAAAAGGATTTTGTTAGAAGATATTTACTGCAATTGCCTTGGGGCGGTCTCCAGTACATAATAGCATCGACGCCTTCTACGTGGAGGTCTCCGTCGACGTGCGTCAACGACAGGGAGTACCTTCTGGTCAGCTGATTGAGCATCACTTTGAGTAACAGCGAGGGCAAACAGGAGGAGATCATCCCGCAGGAAGCCTCGGCCGCGGTGACCGCGTATATCGCGCTCTGCTTCGACCTCGCCTCTCGCACGTTCCTCTGGATGACCTGAGAAATACCGATAACGTCGAAACTAATACCGAACGATGTTCATTGTTTCACCGCTATCTCGGAGGACTTAAATAGACAACCGATAAGCGAAACAAGAATGAAAAGTACCGGGGTTGGACGAGTCTGTTTACACAGATACTTGGACGGAGCATGATAAATCGATGAATCAGAAGAATTGGGTCAGCGGTATCGCACGTTGACATGTTTGCGTCTTGTAAATTTTATTTTACAAAGAGACACCGATGAATCATCATTCAGTATCGCGTTCTCTTTAATTACCTGCAAGATCTCGACCAGATCGTCTTCGAACAACGGAGTCTTGGTGGGCAGCGCGAGACACAGTATGCCTCTGACCTCGTGGTTCTGCATGAACACCGCTCTTTGCCTGACGAATTTCCCAGTGGCGAGAACGTTGTCCGGTATCCTGACGCCGGACTGCCGGAAGTACTCTTTCAGGGAATCCACGGTGGCAGCCAACAAGATTTCGGTCTCCGTAGCTCCGGTCATACACGAGATTTTTCGGAGAACGTCGAGCTCCACTTCCTCCGACCAAGCGACGACCTTCCGTCCACAAGGGGACGTTGTCTGAAGCCGGTTCGTCTGCGGGTGCTTCAGGAAGAGCTCCTCGAAGATGGTTCTAGGCGCTTTCACAGCGATCCACGTGATCGACAGAGCTTCCACTGTGGCGCGGAATATTAGCGGCACGTAACACCACAGCAAGTAGAGCAACGTGTCCGGGTAGTAGTGTTTGTGGTGCGATCTCAAGGCTCGCAACTCCCGGAGAAGCAGTATCGGTGTCTTCAGAGTCAGCACGACCAGTAGGTACCAGCACCAGAACACAACGTCGTAGATTATCTCCAGAGGATTTAAGGATTTCAGCAGAGCTCGCAGGAACACCGTATGCCCGAAATTCCGTTTGTTGGCTTCCCGCTGGAAGATCGAGAAAACGTCGAAGACTCGCGGACCCTCTCCCTTTCTGTACTGTCTACGGTTAACAAGAATTCGATGATTCGTTACAACTAGATCACGGATTTTATGCATTGCAACATGCACGGTATAACGTTGAAACGATGATACCATAAAGTAGGAAGGCAATTCACCTCGTCATTTCCTTTACCGTTGAGACTAGAACTATCACACCGATTTTCGAACACTGGAAAATGCCGATCTGTTTCTTTAATACCTCCGGCCTCTCGTTCGGGTCATTATTATACAAGAATTCGTTCCAATAATTACTGAAACTCTCCGTGAGCTTCTGGTACAACTTGGGCAGCGCAGATGGCTCGGAATAAAGGTTCGTGAACGGGGAGTTCTCCTCTTGGCACGTCCAAGTGTCGGCGGAGTACCTCAACGGTAGAAAATCACCCAATGCCAAGTGCTCTTGATGAAGAAGCAAATGGTGAACCCTGATCAGGCAGACCTGCCGTTCTTCGCCGCAGAGGTAACAGTTTATGACGTGCACCTGCCACGGCGGCTGACCCGGCGGGAAGAATTTCGACGTCAGATCGCTGACGCAGTCCTAAAATGCATGAATCTATTGCAAATTAAGCTAGCCATCTCTTCGTATTCGCGTATCGTATCGCCGTTGCGTGTCGAAAGCTCGTACCGATGATATGCAACAGCGATACGGTGCGAGCGGATATCCTGTTTGCGAATCTCTTATTCTGACCAGCAGAAAATGAAACGGACGGAAGGAGGATTTTTATTTGCAAAACCGACCTGAATATTGGTTTCCGTGATCGGACGACCCCTGAACGAACAAGGCGAGTTCAACAGGTGATTGTCCACGGAGAAGTAGTCGAGATCCTTCCAGACGTACAGGCCCCATCTCGTCGACAATCCTGCGCGAAGAAACCGCTTAGACGAGGTCAGATGTACTAAGTGGCCACGGATACTCTCCGCGATCGAACGGCCTTGAATCAGCAAAGTATAAATTCCCTAAATTTGAGAAGAGAATCGATGTAAACTCTCGATTGAACAGGCTAAGCGTCGACGGGTTTGGCTGCACGTACGTGATTTCGGAATTGATCCAGGATCGTGCGTATGCTATTCTCTTCCACGACGACCACGTTCGGGTACTTCCACTTGACGAAACGTATCCAAGCCCTCCTCGACCATACCAGTACTTGAACCAAGAGAATGCTTCTTTAATAATAAATGATTTACAGTGAGAACGTATGAATTCTAACTTGTATTCGACTTGGCCGGATTATCTAGAATACTAATTTTTAATGACTTTATCAACGTTAAAAAAACTAAGGATGAAAATTACATTATGTAAATTTCACAAATTTCTGCGATAAGCAATGCGGAGCTGTGAGCATTATCGTATCGCTAAAAAATTCGCCCGGATCATTTTTTGCCGGAGATTGTAGATACTAATTATTACAGCTACGCTCTTCGGCGAAATTGAAATTCACAATTTATTTTTCTGAGCAGTTTTTGATAAGTTTTGAGTTTCACGTGACACGTTATGCCATCCGGATAACGGAGTAATCGTCGTCGTTACTGAGAACGGTTCGTTGCGCCGGTATCTGTTACCGAAAACAAAAACACAGAAAAATCGTCCGGTGTTATACAAGCCAGTCACTATCAATCGTCGCACGAACATTTCGTGTATCCAAAGTGCAATGCGCGGAATGATAATTCGCTGGATATTCGACAGAAAAAATTCAGCTTGTGTTCGCACACGTATAAGCAGTTTCGAGGAAACGGGCCGTATCAGATATGATTCATCCGATTAACGTTATAATATAATCGGACCATTTTGCGTATTTTCTCGCGCGCTTCAAATAACGCATATATTTGCTACAGCTACGACTGGAGGTTTTTCAAGTTACTTCGAGTCTTAAGTGAAACACGTTTTGACCGATGGGCCGCGAATAGTACAAGTCGGTTGTCGGCCGCGATTAGAAGGATGCTTACCGGGATACATTAACAACAAGAGCGGTACCAGGACGAACAGAAGCAGTAGGCTGAAACACAGGTGCATCAGCAACGAAATGCCGAGGATGTCCACGAGATCGAACCCAGTCATGTTAGTCCGCAGCCCTTCGAACTTCCTTTATGTTTCCGGAAGAGAACGGGTAACAAACAGAAATCACAGGTCGCCCGCTGGTAATTATATAAATGGTCGCGTGTTCGAGCATCCACGATGCTACTGACTGACCATCTATGAACGATTATGTTCCCGAGAATCTGACCCTCGACCCCCGTTGCAAAAGGCCAGACAGACGGCAGCCCGATGATATTGCGGACGCACTTGCCACTGTCCTCATCGTTTCGCGTATCCCCACTACCTCGGAGAATCCTCGGAAATTTGCGAATTCGACCATGATCGCCGTTTAATTACAGGCGCTCGATCGTGATGATCATCTTTTCGGTCTTAGTTACAACGATGGGAATTTGGGGACAGCAAATTGATTTTAAGGAAAGGTTTCGCAGAAAGAAAAAACGAATGACGATGTCACATTTTATTAAAAATGTATATATATATATATTTACAAAATGGTATATCAATATACATAGGATATACTATTTACATTGAAGCTCTTTTAAAAAATGATCTGCTTTTATATAAAATATATAGTCGTATCTAGATCCTAAACGTCTCTAATTAATTAAGAGAATATCGTGTTCCTCCGAGTTCAGTGCTGTTCTCCGATAGCCATGTAATCCTACTAGACGTTGTCTCGAGACGTCTCGATCGAGATCCTCGCTGATCAGGAGCGAGGGCTCGGCGGCAGAGACCATAAATAAAATGCCAATTACATACGCGGCACATGCTATCCTACAATTCGACGCGTTCCGACGTGACAATATTTAACGCTATTCAATTTCGTTTCATTTCATGCGCCGCCGTCTACGAACGGCTTGTTGGGTTTGTTCCGTTTAGCGTTATGATAAAGATACGAATGTACACGTAGACTGTTGCTGTTCTTGTATTTATTACCACAAAGTTTACACGTTAGACTTTCAAGCGGCCCGTGGATATAACGCACGTGCAATTTCAGATTCTCCTTACGCGTGAAGTGTCGCAGACACCATGGACACGAGTACATTCGAATCACCTTGCCCCTTTCCATGCGTAACGTCGGTCCCAGTTCGGATACGACGCGCAGTGTCGTCTCCAACGGCAGGCTATTGTTGGAGATACCTTTAACAGTTTGTCGACCTTTAGTACGACAACCAGTTTCGCGAGTAAATTCATTTTCAATACCGGTCATGTTACTTAAACCTGACAGACACGAACAAAACACTGACGATAATTTTTAACGATAAAAGAAGTAAGCCGAGCGCGGAAGTAATTGAATCGAGAAACATGAAAAACTGATCGCTTACCGTATGGTTGGATCTGTGCATTTTGATCGTAGGGAACTAGCTGCATCTCCGGCACGTAATCTGCAATAAAGTCTTAATTTTAATCACCGAGACCGTTTGCCCACGCGAAATAAATACCTTTCATCTGCGAATTTTCTTCAGGTTTGTAAACCGATTTATTGGGTAGATACGTCTTGTATCTAGTCTTTGGATCCGTGTCGAGTGTATAATTCAACGGTTCCTGTTTCTGCGGGATTGTATAATTTATATCAGAGGTGCAGTTCAACGGCTCCTCCTCGTTACACTCCGCTTCTACGTTCGCAGAACTCGTATTTCGTATCGCGTCCATGTCCTGCATGTTACAAGTCGGGTCGGACATAGAATCTTGTTGATAATAAGTGTCTGGAGTTTCGTTATTTAGATATTCATCCCTCGATAAAACGTCTTGTCTCTCACGTTGTTGGTCCTTTTGTAAAAACTGTCTCTCCTCCGTAAATGTGGAAGCGTTCGCGTCTGATGCGAATGAATTAATACTGTTCTTTTCCGTGTTAAAAAACTGATCCAAGTTTTGTGCACTCTTTGTCAAACTTTCTTCCAACTTCTATAAATTGAAGATACTTTCATTGTACATACAAGTAAACAATCATATCTGACGTGCTCAGACTCTGATCGAACGTACCTCTTCGGTGTCCGTGGTCAGACCTTTTATCTGTAACGTCTCCGCTACTTTTAAAAAGCCAGCGATGTCTTCCTTCTTGATATTTACTTCCCCTTGATACATGAAATGCAGCATTGCTGACAGATCCCGATAATTGACATCTTTCAAAATCACAATCGGATGTTTACAAGAATTCCCCTGTATCGTTTCATCGATTTTAATATGACGAGATGAGAGTGAGAATTCTGTTAAATAATGGTCTACCTTGAACAGGTCCCTAAAGTATGTACTGCAGACTGACAATATTAATTTGTGAGCGCGTAATATCTGTCCTTCCGCTGCTAATGTCACATCCACTAATTGTTCGTCCGCCAGCAGGGTATAGAGTCCGGATGACAAATTCCTTGGGAAGCTGTTCCACACTAACGAAAATTGTTCTCCAGCCATTATCCTTTGAAAAAGTATAAACTGAAAAATAAATACAATTTGGGTTTACAATTAAAAGTCTGGTTTTGAGATAAAAGCTTCTCTTATCAAGAATAAATTTATATTGACGGAGAAGAATGCACTTTTGAAAAGAGAACGTAAAACAAGTGACGATAGACTTATTAGAACCTTTATTTGAAACGCAGTTTGACGGGGCTGACGAAAGTGATCCAACGCCGAGAGGTTCGTTATGTAAACAATACACGATTTTAATATGTATAATCGCAGCAAGTGTGAATCGTATTTAAAAAGATCGAACGAACTTCATTGTCACCACTCTTCCGAGCTTATTCCGTAATAACAAGCGAACGTTCCGTCAATTCCTAACCCATTCCTATTTAATTTTAAATTGCATTTCATGCAATTGTGAAATAAACGTTTCACGAGTCGAAATGTATTTAGAACGGCGTAAAGATGGACGAAACGAATATCATATTGAGTGCGGAATCTCTCGCTAGAGGCATAAAAAATGTTCTCTGGTTGCAGTTTATTTAAATATCGTTCATATATCCTAGATACTTATATATCCGTTCCGTACTCTCGCAAATATACGAATTATAATTCTGAGATAATAGAGGCGACGTTTGAATGGGCAAGTATCGAATTTATCAGAAACATCGGCACATCTTTATCTGACAAGGTAGACGTGTACTAAATATACATGTTCAAATATCGTCGTCGTGGTCTTTCAAACGGAAACATTTCCATAAGCCGTAACGAGCCTCCCAATCGACGAAGAATAACTCCGGTTTGTTCCAAAGTATATGGTGCGCCGCGAAATTGTATTGAGACTGAATGGGGGGATTTAAATGCGGAGCCCACTGCGCTCTTTCCAACATTATTTTATTTACATACCCGTAAAACACTTTAGCTTTGTGAACCCAACAGAGGAGGGACATGACAGCCATCACAGTGGCGTGCAAATGGTAAGAGACTTGGAGATTTCGTTTGATGCTCGATTTCAGCGTGACGTCTTGTAAATTCATCAAGAGGCAAACGAGAGCAGCGGCTGTGAACCCGCAGGGGACCTCCACCGCGATCAAACAAATCGTGCAGTAAGTCGCCTCCAGGTTCATGCGCGACGTCGAATGATTTATGATACTTTTCAACAGGCTGTCGTGGAGAATCTCTCGGTGAAGTTTACAAAACAGTTTGTCCTCCTTGAAACACGCGCCGATCTTCAGGTCGAACTGCGTGTCTTGAAAGAATATCTTCGGCGTGTCGAAATTCATTTTGTTCTCCTTTCGGTCGAGCAGATACTGTATGACTCTGTTACCCAGTAAACTTATTATTTTACTGGAGGACGCTATCATTTGCATTAACAACGGGAACACTTTCGGCGTCAATGTGTTCTCCAACAATGTCACTTGGTGCATGTACGACGTGTACTCGAGGGTGCTGCCAAATTCTAAGATCACTTCATCGTTCACTCCCTCTTCGACGGCCCACGAGCACATGAATTGAACGATGATCAATAGATGATCGTTGCACACGTGCTTCACGATGTTGATGATGCTGACCTCCAGACCCTTCTTCAACGCGGAGTACGGCTCGAAATTGGTGGACGACAGGGTGCTCGTTATCGATATGTAAAAAAGATTCAATATCCTCTCGATCACGTATACCGTGTCCTGGGTGTCCGGCCACTCGTAGATGTCCAGCAATTCGTATAATATTCTAATGATCTTTCTCGTGTCGTTCACGTTCATGTTCGGACTCTCGATCTTGTCCCATATACTGTGGAACATCAACGACCCGCTGATACCGTGGTCTAGCAACGTGCTCATGATCTCGAAGCAGAAACTCTCGAAGTCCCAAAGCTTGTCTTCGTAAATCATGTTCAACGTACTGTCCATAATTTCTTTCGATTTCGCAGGTAGATAGATCTCTAGCAAACTATTGTAACAATCCTTGGCGTAGCGAGATTTCCTTCGCCGTTTCCATTCACACACGTTGTCGGCCTGCACAAAATTTTCGTTATAGTAGAACAGAAGTCTTATGATGCAGCTGATCAACGCGTACGGTTTATGCATCAATATTTGTTCATGCGTCGCGTTCTTCGTTAAATACAGTATGTGGTTAAGCATTTTGTCTTGTTCGCGCGTCGAATGCACGGCTTGGGAGCACATCTGTTGCACGTAGTTCATCTTTGACTCTAAGTCTTTCTCAGGGATCATCGTTCACCGACGCCGAGTTGGTAACGTGAAAGTTTTTACAGACTGCAATTTTGATCGGACATGTTCCGCACGAGTACAATGAAATTTGCTAATTCTTCGATTCAACTATTTTTCATTGTATGTACAGATTTACTCTGTGTAAAAAATAATTTAACCGCTATGGAAACAATTTTCCATCGTGTATTTACATATACATTTACATGATATTCATAAATAATTGCAACAGTCCACGGACCATAGATGGTAGAACAGAAGTCTTATGATGCAGCTGATCAACGCGTACGGTTTATGCATCAATATTTGTTCATGCGTCGCGTTCTTCGTTAAATACAGTATGTGGTTAAGCATTTTGTCTTGTTCGCGCGTCGAATGCACGGCTTGGGAGCACATCTGTTGCACGTAGTTCATCTTTGACTCTAAGTCTTTCTCAGGGATCATCGTTCACCGACGCCGAGTTGGTAACGTGAAAGTTTTTACAGACTGCAATTTTGATCGGACATGTTCCGCACGAGTACAATGAAATTTGCTAATTCTTCGATTCAACTATTTTTCATTGTATGTACAGATTTACTCTGTGTAAAAAATAATTTAACCGCTATGGAAACAATTTTCCATCGTGTATTTACATATACATTTACATGATATTCATAAATAATTGCAACAGTCCACGGACCATAGATGTCCCTATACTTTTTTTTTTTTTTTAACAAAATATGTTTCGCATCGAAGTTCATTTATCTACGTATTAGAAATACATATTTCATTTGCTTCATCTGTCCGTACGTCTCATAATACATATACACAAGTCTTTTGATTGAAGTAATGAAACTATAAAACACGCAATGATTGATTGCAAGGTTTAAAACCACAAATCTCCTCCGACATCTTCTTCCGGTTGCGGCGGTAATTGTTGCGGCGTTTTCTGCTTTTGCTTCACGTTATTCTCCGCGTCCTCGTCACTCTCAGATATAGCTAAATCGTCCTGTATCTTGTTTTCGCTCTTCTCGTCCCTCGCCGGCAAGCCAGCTAGCAGGAAGTCCGAAGGGTCGTAATTCGGATCGACGTCCATACTTTCGTCTGTAATTTAAAAATCGGATCGCTCGATCAAGCTTGCAATTATTTTAAGAAAAGATTTATTTTCTACCAACCTTGCTGAAGCAACTGTTGCTCAGCCATATAAAACCCGACATTGCCTAACTGAACCATCGCTTCTGCCGCTTGCTGGCTGTCGTCATCGGCCAATACTACTCCGCCTTCCGTATTTTCTCTGACTTCGTTAAGCTCGAGCGTTTCCATCTCGGCATGCTCGGACTGCTCATCCGTGCCGAATGGAACCTCATCGAATTCGTCCTCGCTGGAGAACTGTAGATCTGTGAAAGGAAACATTCCAGTGCAACGAGTCGTCGTAACATTGATAAAGGTAGACGGTACATGAAAATCTTCTCACCTTCTTCGAGGACATCTTTCTTCTTTGAATTAACACTTCTGCTACCGTCGCCTTCCAAGTCTCCTTCCACGTCCACGAAGTCAAAGTCATCCATGTTCGATTTCCCGAATGGGTTCTCCGGCGAACTCGTTTGGCTCTGTGAAGAATTCGCGAATTAGTTATATTGAAGAAGACGATCATGATTTCAATAGACGAGATCAATACCCCTCTAAATTCTGGCTCTACAATCGTATAATTTTCTTCGTCTGGGCCAAGCCACGATGGATCGAGGTCCAGCGATTGTTCCATTGCTCGTTTTTGCACCAACAGTATGCTATTTTCTAACTGCGTCAAGTGTTCGTCATACTGCAAAACGCGATTGAATGTATTCAATTCCAATACATATTTCAATGATTAAAACGGACATATTCATAAATACCTCGTCCAATGTGTCCTTGCAGACTTTTACAAGCAGTTCCGCTTTCGGCGTGTACGACGAATCCTTCCCATTGTACAACATACAATTTTCTAAAATCTGCTCCATGTCTCTAAGGAACTCGTGACGATTGTGATACTTGTGTGCTAGAAACAGCGAACATCGCGAATTAATCGCTCCCGTAACATTATACCGTGAAGAAGCGATGAAAGACTTACCAGATACTTTTTTAGATATGGTTTCCAAATCCATAGGTCTCTTGATGACATTGTAGTAATCTTTCACTAACTTCTTATTGACCGGTTTCAAGAACGGCCAGGCTTCCGCCATGGTTTTCAATTTGTTATTCACGACGTTGTCCAAAATGAACGTGAGAGCAACCTGATCGTTGTCATCCAGCAGAGGATTAATTGCTTTCTCGAGTCTCATCAAACGATCCTCCTTTTCCCCAAGCCTTTCCACGCAAGTTTCCAGCATACGCTTAGCAGCTACCGTCAACGAGCTCTTCTGCCCGTTGTACAGCGTCGAGTTTTCTACGATTTGATTCACGTCGGCCAAAAATTCTTCCCGACTCTGATACTTCTTCAGCCTCAAATTTTCCCGTATAGTTTGCAAGTCCATGGGTCTTTGAATAATTTTATGGTAATCGGGAACAACCTGTCATAGAAATTAGATCATATAGAAATTCTGCAGGATCATCATAAGTGACTTTACTTTAAGGAAAGTAAATCGTACCTTAGCGTTAACAGGAAATAAGAACGGTTGAACATCGGGCAAGTCCCTCATCTCGTTCAATATACTTTCGAGCATCGTGGACATGACGACGACAGGATCTGTCCTACGCCGATTAGCGGGCCTCTGCTGCCGCTTGAGATAATCGCAGTGATCGTCTCCGGTGGCTCTCCTCCGTTTCTTGGAGTTAACTGCTTCCTTAGGCACTTTCAACAGCAACGTACGCCTCTTCATCTCTTCGGCATGCTGCAAAACAGGACCTCGTAAATTGATGCATCGTTTCGATATTCGTTTCATATATACAACAAATTACCTTGATCAGTTTGGACGATAACTTCACTTTAGTTCCGTCGACATTTACGAGATCCTGATCGTCCGTGTTGAGTTGTTTCTCGATCTCCTCCTCCTGTTCCTCGGTCATCGCGACGTTCACCGGCGCCGTGTTCGTTATGCTGTTCTGATATAGGGGACAAGCTTTATTCGTGCGCATGTGACCTACGTTACCGCAAGCACCGCATTTCAATTTAAGATCTGGTTTAAGTTTAGGTTTTTTGCGTTTCGAAGGAGATACCTCGGGTTTAGGATGTTTAGAAGCGGAGGAAATTGTTGGCAAAGAGTTATAGATTGGAAGGATACTGTTAGAGGATGTGCTAACTGGGATATTGGAACTAGTACGGTCGAATATGTTGCCCGACGACGCGTTGCTTCCAGACATCGGGCCGCCAAGCATATGTTCTCTCTCTTGGTTCCGTTTAATTCTCCGCAACTGTTCCTGGATTCTCCTCTTCTCTCTCTTCATCTCTTCCTTCTGCGCCTCGTCCAGCGTCGCGAACTGTTTGATAAACGTCTCATCCTTCGAGTTTCTGATCTTTATGTAAGTGTCTATCACTGCTGGCTTTCTAACCAGTTCCACCCTCGTGTATTCTTTCCCGTCCTTCCTGAACGTACGATAGATCTTGAGAACGCGACCCTGCTGCGAGTTGAAGTTGTTCACAGGACTATCCTCCTCGTCGTCTTTCTTCTTCTCCTTCGACTTTTTGTCCTGTTCCTGAACATCGCCCATCAACATCTTTCGTAGCTCGTGTCGCTGCTGCTCTTCGCGCTCCAGAGACAACTGGGTACTGGTCTTCTTATTCGACAGCATGTTCTCTATGTTCTTACCCATCTCCTCTATGTCGGAACTGTCCTCCTCGGAACTCTCGCCCTCGTCTGTACTCAAAACTTCGTTCGAGGATAGAACGCGATTTTGCAGATCGAAAATCCTTTGACACTCCTCTTTGTACCTCTCTTGGTGCTCTGCGATGGAGAATCGATTGCCTCGAGAGAATTTGGTCATGCCCTCCTCGCCAGCCTTAGCTTTCTCCGTGGACAACGTTCTCACCACGTCGATCACCTCCCACCGCGATAATTTCTTAATCTCCTCCTCGGGCACGCCGAATTTACGAAGCAACGCTTTCGCGTTGTTCAACGACAATCTCCTCAAATCGGCGTCGGTTCCGGTTACAGTCCTCTTTGGCTGAGCTTCTTGTTCCTCCTGATTAATTGAAAATTGTCACATTTCAGTTCCAAGCTGCAAATGAAAGAAGTACACGAACGCTTACCTTACTGATCGTAGGTTTATTTGGAACTCGAACGTAAGAGAATCCTTCGCCGCAGCCCGTGGGGTCGGCTGGTCCTGCCAATTGCAACAGGCATTTGCCTTTCATCGCCTGAATGTACGCTCGCGTCGTGTTCCAAGGCGCGACTTTAACTTCGTCGTCCATCTTCAATTGCATCTCCTCGTCGTCATCGTCTTGAGGAATGAACAGAAACTTCTCACCGTAGCCGGCATCTTTCAGTCTTTGTTCAGCTGCGATCATACTGAAGTACGCGCAACATTGTTCCGGAGACACCATTGCCCGAATCTCTTCTTCGGTCGGCAATCTGAAATCGGGTTTTATGACCCACCAGTTCGAGTCCATGCCCGTTCGTTTGAAGTCGGCGCACAACTTCAAACGTTTCCTAATGCTGCTCTCGCTGTGCGAGGGGAATGCTTTTTTAATATCGTCCATTTTAATACGCCGAGGCTGTCTGGTGTCTTTAGATTCCCAAAATAATCTGTATATGAACACTTGCAAGAAGTCCCTCACAAAATTGTTAGCTCTCTTCGAATTAGGTCCCGGTACTTCGTACAGCGGGCATTCCTGACCAGCGACGAACAAAGCGTCGACTTCTCTGATATAGTACTGCTGCCTCGTTCTGATGACTAAGAAGTCAGTCTCGGGAATCTTGTGCTCGTAAATCGGCGCTCTGTACATATTATTCTCGACAGCTTGTATGCTCTGGCCAGGTGTAAGAATTCCAAGGAACGGACTGGTGTGCGCGTACGCGGTCTCACCGTATTTGTATTTCTGCGGTCCCTGATCCTTCCCCGCTTTTCGTTTGTAATAATTCTTCACCTTGGAACACATGCCCACTTGATTCATCAAAGGAGGATGTTCCTCCGAAAATTCAATCAGCACCAATTCGCCGTCCTTTCCAGTTAAATCCTCGGCGGTTCTCATGAAGAAGACGTCACCTCCGCCGGATGCGATCCTCTCCTGTTCCCTTTGCTTGGCTTTCTTCTTGATATGCTTTACCAAAGGCAGAACTGAATGCGGCCCGGGAAGTGCGAGCGGACCGTGACTGTATTTCCTTATCGGTGGTCTGTGGAAATTCCGTAGTCGCATCTCTCCCATATGGGTCTGAACGAACGGAGCACGTAACTCTACCACCGGCGTGCTGTGCTGTATCAAATTTCCACCTCCGACCTTCAATCGTAACGTCGTCTCCGACGATCGTGGCATGTAGTAAGTATCGTTCGAAATATTGAACGGATCCCTGTCGGGTGATTTTGGTGGCGGTGGCGGAGTATCCTCTTCCAATACGTTGATCACCCCAGCTTTTCCCAATAACAATTTACTTTTTTTAACGTGCGGGTGGGGTATCTTCACTTTCGGCTGAGGCCCGTTATCCTTGTGAATCAACGCCGGGTCAATGTCGTCGGGTATGCCGAGAACGATGTTCTCATCGTTCGGATCTAACGTGAGAATCTTGGGTTTCGGTATCTTTCTCATATTCTCGGGATCCCAAATAACTTCTTCTTCCCAAAGACCGTACACCAGTTCTTCGTTCTCTACAGGAAAAATGGAGTACCACGTATCATCGTAATTCTCTTCCCGATTCTGTTGCTGATTCCCTTTACTCATATTCCTGTTGGAAACAAAGATTATAAACAAACTCGATCATACAGTACGAAATATTATTTCCTGGTTTCTCCTTACATTTTATTTTTCTGAGACTGCATGTGCAACGGTGTCGTAATCTGCGAGGTAGCCAATCGAACATTCGATGCGACCGGGATTGGACCACCTTTCCCTGGTTGACTGAACGCTTGGGCAGTTCTGTTCCCGCTGGACGGCACCCATCCGGCCGCGTTGTTTTTACTGTTCAATTTCTGCAACACCTTTCCAAGTATTTACATTCTAATTTGTAATTCGTATGGATTCTATCGCGATCCATTATCATTGAAATTTTATCTACCTTGTGCTTTATGTCGTCGCCGTTCCATATAACATCGTCCTCCCAATGCAATTGCGACACCATTAAAAATGCATCGTCAGAAAATTCCTCGCTGGTATCTTTAGTTTCATAATTATCTTTATTATCTTTATTATTCGCCTCGTCTATCTGTAAGAAAACTCTCTATAGTAAATTGATTCTTCAGTGTTTTAAATATACGAGTTGCATACCTTTTCGAAAATTTTAAATCCGTAATTAAATCCATCTCCAGTCTCGGGAACTTGAAGCATATCGTACCACAGCTGAGCAGGTCCGAATCTCCAATCTGCTACCTTCGGTCCCATATCCCCGTTTTCACCGCTCTCTCCCGTTTTACCAACTTGCTCCTTGTCCTCCACCGGCTTCAGTAATTTACTTTCATCATCGGAACGACACATGTCCGGAGTTACATCCGGACCGTATTGCATCATCCAGCCCTAATATAAAGATGTTCGATCAAATTTCTGGTAAACGTCCCAGTTAATCCGAGAGTGTTAAAACATACTTTAAACTTCGATTTCTTCTCGTCTTGATCGGAGCCTGAATCAGAATCTTTGCACACATCGTGATGCCGCTTCTTCTTACGTCTCCTTTTAACACCTCTCCACACCTGCGGCAGGCTACTAGGTTTTCCAGGACCAAACAATCTCGAGAACCTCAACACTTTATTAGTACGAAAATCAGGAAACAGCTCGGTCACATTGACATTGGCATATTTCGATGGTAACATAGAAGCGAGAGGAGTTTCTAATTTTCTCTGACGGGCAGCTTCTGCCTCCTCCGCAGTAAGAGCTTCCTTCTCCTCGGGTATCGGAGGCGGTGGCATTAATTGTGTATCAGATTTACTGACTACTTCTTCATCATCCGCATCGTAATCAGCGTTCTCTTTCTCAGATTTACGATCGAGCATGTCCTGTTTACCTATCAATCAAAGCGATACTTATGAACCTTTGATATATAAACGTTTTACTTTCACACTTACTGTTCTCCTCTTTTTCTTCGTCCGCTAGTTCGTTTATGTCCGAGAAGTCGAGAGCACTGGGAGATTTCTCATTGTAGCTAATATCCTTCTCGTCAACCGTGTCATTCTCCTCTTCGGCTTTCTCGTTTGATTCGTTCTCTCTGTCCTCGCTGGTATTTTCACTCGACATCATTTCACGAATAAACGATGTCAATCCAAACCGATTCAACGAATCCAAATGCTGCTTCGCCTCTGGATCCAGAATGTCATCTTCTAGTTGACCATTGTCGTCGATGTTCCCGAATAAAAACCCGGTCATATTAATCCCAGACATCGTGGCTTTATCGTTTTCCTCTTCGGAATCAGCCATTCTTTCCTATGTAATGTGTCACAGACCAATGCTACGTTGAATTCTTGTATAAAATTACAGACTACTCAAATGTACAGTGGTTATGCACGGTTGACACATGGTATTCACTGATGGGAGTATATAAATATAACATTTTACGTGTTTTCTTAATTATGCTCTGTTACTTCTTTGAACAGTTGTCGTAGTTACTGTTATTTACAAGTGTATTAGTTAGAAACTTGAGATATATTAACGACTTGTTTACGTTATAGGGTACATCAACTGTACGCCATGTTTTGTAACAGGTCGATGGCAAAGCCGCAATAGCGACGGCGGCACTAGGGATGCTAGGGATCTTAGAATTTGTCCCGCACGGCTCGCTTCCCCTCTTTTTCGCCCGTATTTCGATCCCCACTACTATTCTCCTCATGCGCCTTCGCGAAGCTCTCCGCGGTCTCACCGGTGTCACCTACATAACATTTCGTCCTAGTGATTTTGAATTTGACGATGAATTTGTATTGAACGAAATGAATTATTATGAACAACGAAAGTATATGTAATGAATATAAT